ACACACACACACACACACACACACACACACACACACACACGAGATGCAATAGACTAAAATACTTAGGGTAGTAAAATTGTTTACTTTGCGTGGATGTTGATAAGTTGCCAATAATTATGCCACGTAACGATTAACGCTTCACCAGTGTACCCAATCCGACTTGTTTCTTAGTTTCGCACACTGCGCTCTTTTCTAATTTGGAATGATCTAGGAAATGACGTATTGTTATATGGAAACAATACACGGATTGAGATATTTCTTAATCATCTTCGCTTGACTTTCACATAGTTACGTTTATTGACTTATTACTTTCATTATAACAAGGCTGTTGCTGTAAATGTTAGTTAGTTAGTTGCGGTTCAACCAATGCTTCCTATTTCTTTAAATCAAAACAGAAAGACGTGCATAAGAATGACAATCGTATTAGATCCTTGACGATTACGACATTTGCATATGAATGAAGAATTTATTTTCCCGTTTAGCATTCTATTCTAATTCTATTCGTCATCCGTACGATAATGTGGCTTACATGAAAAACAAGTTCACGAACCTATGCGAATGTGCTATAATACGCCGTTTATATTGTCTTGCTGGATAAATAATAGATCGGAGCAGTAGCTGAAGCACATATCTTTTTTGCTTGTCAACATGTACAAAAAAGGATGTGCACTTGAAGCAAAGCTTTTCCCTCATGATCAAGGAATGAGATTCAATAAAGGAACGGCTAACATTTACAGGAATGCTTGTCATAGATGTGAATATTTACGCGAAATACTCGGTATTCATGTGCAAAGCACATTCCACGACGATGGATGTCTAAAGGTGTCTCCGTTTCTGTCTACAGTACGAACCGTACTACGCAGGAGCGACCGCCGGGGCACCTCAGTATTTGTACGCTGCTACCGGCAGTTCGCCGAGCAACACGAATGGTGGTGGAGGTGGCAACAGTTCCGGCAGCAGCGGCAATAACGGTACAGGAGCTACCAGCCCGCCGACGGGTCCACCGCCACCTCTCCCACCACCGCATCCAACGCACTTCTACGCTCCTGCCGCGCCGGCCCCGCATCATCATCCACCTGTACCAACGGGCCCTCCTCCCCAGGCGCAGGTGGATCATCTGTACTATCCTTTTGCAGCCGGCCCGCATCCCGCGCAGCCGCACGCGCCTATGGGACTGACCGACCAGCAGCTGTTGCTGTACACCACGGACGCTACTTCGTGCCAGCAAACCGCATCTGACAGCCAGGCTGCTCCGCAGGAGGTAAGTTCCTTTCTCACCCTGGCTGCTATATCGATACCTTCTTGACTTATTCGCGTTTAGCGAACCGTTTTCGCGATGTCGAAATGTGTCTTTGATGCCGCTTCCAAATTTCATGAGAGTAGAGCGGCTCGCTATTGAGTCGCAGTCTTTCTTATCTCTGTAAAACAGTAGTGTATGCGTTAGTAATTGTTATTAATGAAATGTCGATGCATGTCAGCGCGATGAAGATTCATTTAATCGCATCCGGGGGATTAGGATTATACAACAAAGAATCGCCGTGAATGCTCGTTGGTAAATGCACGTTTCACTAAGTCTATTGAGTTAGGCAGGTATTATTCTGTGAAATAAAATCGTAGGATTCACGTCCGACGCCAAGCCACTCGGAGCAACCGCATAGCGAAGTGCAACAGGGCGCTTCAGGTTCACCGGCAACATCTCTGCTGCCCCTAATGCCCGTCAAATTCCCCGTGTCCGGTCGTTACCATACTAATTACCATCCGATCGCGATACACACACCGCACGGCGCGCAAAACGACAACGAGGACTGCGCCGGCAGTCCGATGCACTGTCGCATCCTCTACCCGACCGTGTACCTACCGCACGCACACCCGCCGTCGCCGTACACACATCACAACGCGTCCGGTACTAGTCTTCTGCCGACACCGTTCTCGGCCTCGCCGCATCAGTCCGGTTACGACAACAGCAACGCGAAAACGTACGGCCACAATTCCAGAGACTACAATAAGTATACGGGCGGTAACAATTTACGCGGTCAGAATCACGGTTATTCGTTGGCACATCATAACACGCACGCCAAGTCGCAGAACACACACGGTTCGCAGTCACACAACAGCAAGTGTAGCGGGAACGCGGCGGACGGGTCGCACAAATATCCGACGATAGCGATGTCGTCGCGATTGCCGGTACAGTACAATAGGAGAACGGCTGGCTCGAATGTGGGCTCGTCGGCGATTCTCAGGTCCGGCGGCGGCTATACCTCGAGTCAGGCTGCGCACAAGGTCAATCACACAACAGCGTCCAACTATTCGTACGCGCCCAACTATTCGAACGGACGCGCGAGGTATTGCGGCGACGACCAGTATTATGAGATTAACAAACCGTCGATGGCCGGTGGTTACGGCTCGGGTCGTAAGAACTGCCTCTCGAATAACAATAATAACAACTATAGAGGAAACGCTGCCCGGTTGGACGTGCACGGAAACGACAGCAACGGTCGGCCTAACAACGACACGGCTCAGACGGACAGCGCCGTCGTCGTCACGAGCACATCAACGACGCTGTCCTCTCGCCTGTCTCCATCCGAACGAATAAACGCGGACGCGTCCAGCCAGGAGAAGTCGGCGAGCCCACCGCCAGCCCCGTACTCACCCATGACACGGCCTCTTCCAACTCTCTCCCCGCCCACTCCCCAGGTCCAGTTTTACGCTCCGGCTCAAAATCGTTATCAGCCGTCCTCCATGCCCCTGTCCCAAACGCAGCAGCAGCAACAGCCCGCCGGCAATCAACGCAGCCGGTACTCCGTCGGCCAGGCATTATCGTCCGCCAACCGGAAGCCGTCCGACAAGTATTCAAGCACTACCGGCTCGCAGACGACGATGCTGCGGCAGTCCAAGTATAAGATGAACGGTATAATGCAGCCGACTGCCACGGCGGTGGCGAGCAAACTCGCCGACGATACTCTGGGAGGTGCCGGCGACGGTCCTGGTAGGCTACCGATAACGCCACCCGGTACACCGCGGACGGCCGGCCATCCCGCGGCCGGCGACCAGAATCAGCTGAGCGACACGTGCCATCAGATGCAGGCGCTGACTCTGTAGACGCTTCCTACGCCCCCCCTCCCCGTCTTTATTCTCTTTGCCCTCTTTGTTGTCTTCTTGATAAGAGTAAATATTTATCTTATAAGAGTCGAGAGAGACCACGCGCGACCTAAGACGACGGCTGCAAACTGTGAAAAACAGTGCGGAAATCAAGACACGCAACACTCATACACATACATTAAAATATATATATATATATGTACACGTATACATACATGCTACGGTATAATTTCTCTGGTGATCTCAGACTCGACATGCTAAAGACATTCTATAGAAATGAAATCTTTCCCGGTTTGATCGACATGGCTCGCTGATCGCTCCAGGATCCTGATGGAGGATTATCGTACGAGCGCGTGCAAAGAACGATATATTATTAATAATATGTGCGGAGGGAAAGAAAGAGGCAGATGTACCTAAAATGAAACACTAGCTGTTCTAGATAGATCTGCTTCTTTCTGTACTGTAGCGGAGAATCCAACAAAAATAAAACTTCTCAATCTTAACGCATTCACACAGAACACACACACGCACACACACATACACACACATATGTTATAGGTACGATACGTCATTTACATATATATATATCTACGTTATATAATATACATATATATATATAAATATATATCTATTACAGTATATCCGATGTTACATGCGTGATAGGCTCGACAAACCATGAATCTCGCGAGCAAGGCTAGATTAGTTAGCAAAAGATAGAATCGAGAGAAAAAAAAAGGAGAAAATAACGTTGTTATCGTACAAAGACGATGTGTTGTCATGTGTTCAAAAACAAAAAAAAAAAAGATGACGATGAAAAACAAAGCAGAAGGGTAACAGGGAGGCGAGATAGGGTTGATTTCATAAACGGTTGCTCAAGGCACTGCCACATCTCCATGATTTTTCGTTTTCCATCCCCCCGTGGACCACGGGGGGTATCCGTACTTATAGTTTCTCTCTCTCGTTAGAGTAACCGTGAATTCTATATTTCATCGCGTGTTTTTTCAAACGTAGAGCGGACTAAACAACTGGATTCCGTTATGCCTTTCGTTGAGACAAATTTCCGCGCTAAACGTCGTACATGTTGTAGCTGTTAAATACCGTGGGAAAAAAAAATAATAACCGAGACCCAAGTACGAAAGATGAGACGCCCCGTATACCCAAGTGAAAATAAGATAAGATATTAAAAGAGGAGAGAAATAATAATAATGAATTAAAAAAAAATGTGTCGGCTGTGAGCTTCCAAGCAAATAACAATAATTAAATTATTATAATATTAAAGGTTAAATAATATTCTACCTAATTGTTACGAAGGTGGATTTCTTTTACCTGTAAATGTGAAATAAATTTGTTATCTCGTATCTCGCATACCGTAGCTATGATTGTCCATTCGGGAGAGAAAGAGAGAGAGAGAAAGAGAGAGAGAGAAAATAAGAAAGACAGATGAGATTTGTAGCGCCGTGAATGTGTCGTGGCGCATGTTACCTGGAGATTTCGGCGCTACCCGAACGTCGTGTCGATACGTAGCTAGATACGAACGCGACAGACAAGGCCTAGGAGAAGGCGTAGAGATAATATCCGAGAGTGAGTTGTTATAACACAAAGGAGATTAATTTATTGAAGAAAAAAAAAGAAAGAAAAGCACGAGTGCCTTCTATTTGTTTTCGTGATTGTATTGTTGAACATTTGTTGCGTTACGTTCTCCAAGAGCCTCTAATGTTGTTATAAGAAAAAAAGAGATGTTTGAAGAATGTTGTTCCTCTATTTATTTATTGATTTATTGGGCACGTGTGATGCTAGTGCGCCCAAAACTGTAGCCCCCTCCCCCCCCCCCCCCCAGCGAATTCGGAAGTGTGAGAGTATGATGATACTGTTGTAAAAGCGTGATCCGACGAGAAGTACGGGAGTACCGTGTAACGAGAGAGCGAACTGTTAAAATACAGCGAAACGGAGTCATGTCACGTCATGTCGAGAGAGAGATGTTACGGAGGGAGAGAACGGAACGAGTGTGAAGAAATGTTGCGAGTGCGAGTCGTGTGAATGAGTGTCGCAAGTAGAGGGAGGGAAAATAGAGAGAATGAGAGAGAATGCAGCTTATTATGGCACCTAGTACGTATAGGCGGAACACGAGAGAGAGAGAGAGAGAGAGAGGACATTCTCATATGTCTTCTCACGTGTGTAGCGATATGTGTATGTGTACATATCCATCGTGTGGGTGGGTGCATTTGCATATACGTACACGTGTATCGATATGTACATATGCACATAAAAAAAAATATATATATATAATATATATATATATATATATATATATATATATATATATATATAATGTCGAAGCGAAATGAGACAACATATACCGAAGATATCTAGAGTATAACTGCGAAAGAGATACGCGTTATTTAGTCGTGTGTATTTGTGCTCGCGCGCGAATTTGGATAGGTGGCTGTGATTTATTGCGTGCAAGTACAGGTTTATATGTGAGCAGCGTGGCTCGTGTATCTACTCACACACAGGCACACGCATATTTCATATATATATATTATATATTATATATATTATGTATATATAAAATACGCGTATCTATTTAAGAGAAAGAACGCTAGATTAAAAAAAAAAGTGCAATTCTATGTTGACTTTGGTACAACAAAGCTAACAAATCGAACGAATATTGTTAGATTAAAACGAGTATTACAAAACCTGTGTGTACTAAATTTAACGTAGAATGGTGCTGTAACTTGATTGGAAAAAAAAATATGATAAAATATATATTACACAAGATATATTATAGTTTTAATCTAAAAAGGAAAAAAAAATACAGCGGAGTCTAAGATAGACACCAGAGCTACGTGTAGTAAAGAGTATAGGATCTACGAATGTATCATACGCAGCAAAGAGTGCATTTCGGATCGTGGAATCTCGTCCTGGGCTCGCCTGGTGCATCCGCGACGATCGACGTCGCGGCGGGCGAGAGATTTGAGAGACGCGAGCTTTCGAGATAATCCGTGTTAATTTATTTATCTCCCAGCCGGAGCTACGTTGCTCCGGCGTTACGAACACCGGCGACTTGGTTGCGGGGTATTATTAACGTGAGACAATCTTTTTTTTTTCCCGCGAGGGTCGACGGCAAGATTATTTGCACACTGGATACATCGGACGATAACGAGTATTTGTTAACGTTTATTTACCGTGGACAACACAATTTCAAGATGCTTATCGCTTACTTGATGAAGCGATGCCGGGATTATTTTTTCTAAATTCGCACCGTCGCCAAATACATTGATGCGCAATGTATCCATCGTGGAATTATAATTTGAATATACCTCCGTGTAGATAAGTGGAATCGGTGGTACGCCAGGAGGAAACGTAAAGAGGGTCGCGTTCCACGATCCACGTGTGCCGGTGAGACAAATTTATATATTAATAAACATAAATTATACACAAAATGGCATACAGGTTATACATATATCACAAAAATTATATAAGATTTAAGTACTCTATGGTAATAAAAGAAATATGTTACGCATAAAGAAAAGAGATGCAAATATCTAAAAAGAGATGTTAATAATAATAAAGGACAAACATCTGTGCATGAAGATCATAGAGAAAAAAAACCACTAGTAAAGGGACGATATAGAATGAATCTGCTGTAAATTTCTTCTGCAATTATATGATAATAAGAATTATTAATGTGTACATATATACATCTGGTGTGTGTATATGTGTGTGCGATTATGTATGTACACACACCATATGTCTACAGGTTGTATAATCGCGGACTTCGTTCTCGGTTACAGTTTTTCTCACGAATCTGAAATTGGCTTTTCCATAGTAAAAAATAATCCAATTACAGTTCCCGAGACAAAAATTTAATTTTAATTTTCAGGGAAATGAAGGCCCAACAAACTCTTTATCTTTCATCTTTCATTTAATTTCAAGAAGCTATAACAGACAGGTAATATTGAACATTTCAAGTTATTGCGAAAGAGATGGTGAAAGAAACTGCGTGCTCGCAATATAGAATTTTTTGTTAAGAAAAAACAAACCTCGAATTCTTGAAAAAGTCTGTAACGGGAAAGAAGTGCGGTAGAGCTTGAGCCACCGTGTATAACTATTAACAACAATCACAATAGTAATATAACAATATATATTAATAGCAAACTCTCATTGGAGTGAAACACGCTCGATCATAGACTGATATGTCATTCGGTAAGTGCAGACTAAAGGGTGCAGCCCATGTGTCTGCATGCGTAGTGAAACCATCGGGTAGGAACGGTCGGCAGAAACGAAGTGTTACTCTTTGGCCATAAATAACAAACTGTATTTTTATTGATACTATAATACAGAGATCATATAAGTCTCTCCTCGATGTAATATCTTACCCATGTGAAAAGGTTCGGAAACTAATTGCATCGCAAAGTGTTTGGGATTTTTCTTTCCTTTTCGATTAGTCTTGCAAGGATCCGTCTTAACAAATACGTTATAAGAAATGGCACGCTTCCTCGCCGATATATCGATATTGTCAATAACAATCGTACTCCTCGAAAATCTAAAGTCTATCTCTAAGTAAATGGATCTCGAAGCGGTATTCCTGTCGACGACAGACTACACGTTAAATACTTCACGATACATCGAATACTTTACTAGAATCACAATAATAATCACATCTGCAGGAAAATTACCTCGGACGTCGAACTTACATCTACTATCAATTCGTCGACGTTATTCCGTAACGTACTGAGAAAATGCTTCGGTTATGGCAGTGACGGCAATTCTGGTGCATCGATCTTACAACTGTTAAAGATTAGTCGAATATAAATAATCGCTGACAATCGTTTGCTTTTCGTGTCAAATTGTAAAAAAGATACAAATATGGACGATAGTATCATTCCTTAGCCTGCTAATAGATAAAGTGTAAGAAAAACGATTCTTCGTTGATGCATAGCAAATATCGGTCTCGAATACGTGAGATGTGAATAGTAGTAGCGGAATGGAAAAACTATATGGATAAAAAAAGGGCCTATAATACCGTGTATATAGCGGTACTTAAATCGCTACACAGTTAATCACAACGATAATTGATTTAACGTTCTCTTTCGTTACTCCCGAGTAAGTTTCAAACAGTGTAAATTGCATAAGCTTTGTCGCGCCCATATAGTTTATAATTCGGTCGTCATATGAGACGTTAAGGCTTGGACGCGGGTAGCGTTGCAACTCTTGCACAAAATGTGATCGTCCAGGGGATAGCAGCCGTGTCCCTCCGAGTCGGATGACAATACCAATCCGCAATCCTCGCACTTGTAGCACTGAATGTGGAAACTGCGATCCAGTGCCACCACTCGTATGGTCTCGTCCTTACCAGGCTCGGGCATTATAGGCAATTTACAGACGCAGCAACGCGGAGCGAATTTCCTGCCGGGGCGAGAACGCAAATTAGCTACCGGGGTCGAATGAATAATAATTTAAAGAGACGAAGAAAAGAAAGAAGGGATGGACTCACTTGTGGAAACACTGAATGCAGTGTATTTGATTCGTAGCGTCCACGGTGAACGGTATACCGTCCAGGCTTTGTCCACAGACGACGCAGGTGAAGCACGAGGGATGATACGGTTTGCCGGTAGCTCTCAATATTCGATCCAGTATCGGTCTGGTACAGACGCAGCACTTTTCCAGAGTGTTGAGATAGTCCTCCTCGCAATAAGGCTTGCCTTCCAACGAGTAGAAGGGTTTCCCCTGTAGATTGACCTTGCACACGAAGCAGGAGAAGCAATTTATGTGAAAGACTTTGTCCATCGCCGAGCATCCGGTTCCTTCTCCCTCGACCTTGCGCCCGCATTGCGCGCAGATCCCATATATATCGCTATCCTCGGCATTATCTTCCATTCCTTGAACCAACAGATCCGTGAGAACGTCGACCTGTAGATAAAATCAGTCGCTTAATCATAGACACATATTACTTTACAATTGTGATCGATTATTTTATAGTTGTCGCGGTCAACATTTGACGAAATTGATCTTTAAATAAAATAAATTACACCCTTGTCTCTCTTATTGCAAATAAATGAGATAATTTACAATATATATAGTTACTTCAGAAATAATAATCGAATTAGATGTGCGAAGTGTTTCTATTTTTATAGTTTCTATTTCGACAAACTAAAGAACTTGGATAAACTCGGTCACGCGGTACAGAATTACTCACTTCTTTAACGGGAGACACCTTGCCCTGCGGTTGAGTAGACGCGGCCGACCCGTAGCCGGAGTACATGGAATAGTTACACGACAATTGTGACGGCGGTCTAGGATTAATCGGCTCGTATATCGATTCGTACGTCGAGCTGGACTGAGAGCTCGGGCCGTAGATATCGGCGGGGTAGTTGCCCGACGGGAAGTCGGTTTGGTAAGTGGCGCGTCGCAGCTCGCTGTAGCTCGACGACACGGGACTCGGTGGCGGAGGCAGCTCGTCGGGCGGCGGTGGAAGCGAATTCCCGGGGACGCAGGCGACGTACTCCGACGGCTCCGGTGGCGGCGGCAAGTCGTCTGCAAAGCGAAAAGGTCGGTGATGCTCGGTTAATTTATCGAAAGATCGCGAAGCTTCTGAAGACTGCGTGCCCACAACTCCTCAAAGAAATTCAAACGCTAAACGCTTTCTCAATCAGTCAATAACTACCGTGACAATTCTTATCTTCCAGATTTAGCAAGATTCTCACCAGCCCCGTGCGCGGCAGGAACGTTGCAGTACGTGTTCTCCATCTTGGGGTTCCACTGGATGTTGCTGTATATAATTTCCTTGTCCATCTCGTACGGATACTCGTACGTGGAGACCACCGCGGGCACCGGCGGCTCTACGTTGCTGTACACCGCGTTCCTGGTCGCCCGACTCGTGCGATCGTCCGCCACGACGGGTACCTGAGGCGCCGGCATGTTCCCGACATTGGAATAATAATTCTTCTCGTCGTATCTATACTTAGGCTCGAACTTCTCGTCCGGTTGACGCGCGTAAAGATTGTCGTTGTTCTGATAGAGCTTCGACGCCTCCTTGCCGTTTGCGGGCACCATCTGTGAGAAGTCGTTCTTTATGTCCAGCGGGACGTACGGCGAGGGAGCGTTCATGTACAGATTTGAAGGCTTGTCGCTCGACGCCGTATTGTTGAGAACCGTGCTGTACGACGGCACGGGCGGTGTCTTTATAGTGTAACTTTGCGGTATCTAGAACAGATGGTTATCCGATTATCCGCCGTCGTCAGGGTTCCCGTAAACAGTTTTTCCATTTAGTCGAATATGTATACGATCTCTCGTTACCGTTGTTGCATCCGTATTCGGGGATGCGTGCGAACGGGGGGGAAAAACACACTCTGCGTTAGCGTTACGTGACAGGTAAAGATATAGATAAGATCTTTAGAGCGAGAAGCTTCTAGGATTCACCTGTGGCTGAGATTTCTTCGGCTTCGGCGGCACCGCGGGCCCGACCTTCTTGCCGGGCTTGGCCGCGCCCTTGGCCGCCTCGTCGCCGATCTGCAGACCCGCGATCTGCTGCTCCAGACTGCCCATGTTCGACATCCTTCTGTCCTGTTCTGCGAACAGGTTAAGTTAGCCCTGCGAGACTCCGCGGACTTTATCGTCGATCTTACCTGACACGAGGGGCACGCACTTCCAGGAGGTTCAAGTACGAGCCGCGGTATCCCCGGGCGCGAGGTGGCTCATAAAAATCAAAAGAGGGGCTCCGGGCGGCCACTCGATCGAACCCACGGCTTTGACAGCAGTCTGCAGCAGTCGCGTAATGGCAAATGGCAACGACCCAGACGACCCTGCACGCACACTTTCTACACTCGAAAGAGAGAGAGCGAAGAGTGTATCGTGTATCCGCCTATCCGGCAGCCTCTGGGACCTCTCTAGAGAAAGAGGAAGTCAGGATACGAGAGCGCGGAAGGTGTGACTGAAACAGGAAAGAAAAAACCTCATGACTCACAGCACGAGGGTCGCCGAGCTGTCATTAACGCTTCGATCGCGCTTATACCTTTCACAGCGGTATACGATCTACCGACTACCGAAAGGCACGTTCTCGACTCGTCGAGGACGTCGAGGATCCTCGGGGGGTGGGGGGGAGGAGGAGGTCGTAAGGATGTTCCTTTCTCCGCCTGGTCGTGTTCCACTTCGCTTATTCTCTTCGACGATCGGGGCGTGAGCGTGAATCACGGGACTCCGTTATCGGCAAGGTGACGAGACGGAATTAAGTCGCGCGTCTGCAGTCGCGTTATCTCCCGGCACCACACCCACGGACAGCTGGTTCCTCTCGGCTCGCGCCGGTGACGATTCCCCGGATTCCCCGAGACCCCGAGGTATTCTCTTCGAGCACGAGCCGTCCGGACGCCCGCGAGCACCACGGCGGACAAGGTATCTACCTCCCGCCGCGCCGCGCCGGTGAGAGAGAGTCCGCTGGACCAGTTTGGACGCGCGAGATACTCTCGAGATAGGAGATAGTGTGCGTGAGATGTTATGACGCTGATGACGCATCCACGGATATTGTCGTCGGGAATCTAAGAAGCCGAGATTTCAGGTTCTCGCGTGTTACGATAGATTTACGATTAATTCGCCTGAAATTTTATCCTATTCGCGAGTTAATGAGATTTTCAGGCATTAATAGTTATAATAATAATAATTAAGTATATCATATTATTTTTTAATATATGTAATAGTGAATATTATATTATTATTATTATCATCTCTCTAAATTTCTTGGGATGGGAATACTGCCACTCCAGTGAGATTTCACTCTTTTGGAGTAAGATTTCACTCTTTTTGGAGTGAGATGTCACTCCAAAAAAGTGAAATCTCACTGGAGTGGCAGTATTCCCACTCCAAGAAATTTAGAGAGATGAATAATATTATTTAAAGCTGCTTTTGATACTTTCATCTAGGAAATAAGACTGATCGGTACACATGTATGCATGGCCTCTGATTTTTTATGTTTTGCTTTCGTTCATACGGAAGGAGAGAACTCCAAAAAGACTTCCAGGATCGATCCTGGAACTTGTATTATTTATCAGCTGTATAAATAATGTTTGGAGACGCGTCAAGCGTTAGAAAACCCACCATGGAAACAGTAGGTACTATAACAATTTATTTCCCATTTATCATCTTTTTAGTGAAGAAGGAAAAAGATTTTCCATTTATTCTTACTGTAGTATTCGTCGGGAAAAATCAGCCGACGTCATCAGTATTCCGAGTGTTCCGAGTTTTCCTCGTTTCCGGGATTACCAGAGGTTGACAATGAATCACGAATGTCACGATTTTGCGTTATTTAATGTCGTAAATCGATGCCAATTAAATGCGTCGTTTTGAATTACTAAAAATCAATAAAAATTGAAACCTTATTGTTTCATTTACTCCCCAATGTCCATTTCTACTGCGATCTCAAATTCTTAGAATCAGGAAAAGATAGTAAAGATAAGTTAAGCCGAGATTAAAATTAATCTACATTGGTAGAATTAAATGAACATAATATAGTAACTCCAACAAAAAACTCCGATTAACGTAATAAGCGATTATCTCGTCAAGTAACATCTGTGTTATTGTTTTGTTAACGCGAAGAGAATAAATAATTTCTGCCGGTTTTAACCGCCGACTAAGTTAACCGGAATTTCACCAAAGTTTATTGCAATAAAATCGTCATATAATTCCTTTGTACATAGTTTCATATATATCCTCCGAAGAAACAAATCGTTAACTGTGGGAGTTAAAATCGACGAGACTATATGGTCTTTTTATTTTCTCGCTCACCTGTTTCGTTCATTTTGCCGTCTTTACTTAATTGCCATTGTGCCAACCTAACGATTACGTAATCGCTTTGCTTAATTGCAGTTATTTGCATTTCGCTTATCTTCTCGCGAAAGACAACAGCTTGTCGCGCATTATTATCGTGCATTACAGTTATATCACACTTTGTACTGGTTTATACTACTTGATGATTAGACTTGATGGATATATATATTGTAATTTTTCCCTATTTTCTACAGAAAAACAAATAAGTGGATCAACATCGCAATCGCATATATGTATACGTGTCATTATCGCGCTACTTATTTTATCGCGATTAAAACTTTCTTTCACTTCATACTCCTAAAATTTCCACACTCTATTGTAGTAATAATTGTGTAATATTTTCTTATCTGTTAAAAATTCTGTCACCTATATTAATTGTTTAGTAATCCCTTACATCTTTCGCTGTACAACGGGATAGCTAATCAATTGTGAAACTGTTTTTATTAATTATCTCTACGTGATAACTTACTTATCGCAGCGTCTGTATAAACGATTTTAGTTTCAACGTCGAATACCGAGATAGACTGGAAAAATGAATCTGCTCATCTTTAGTATCTAATCGTGGGACACTAAAATAATGCCAGTAGAGATATCGAGTTATACGTGGCAATCGTCAAGCAATACATTATTTCTTCATGTCATCGGACAAAATATACTTTTTTTTTTAAAACCTCGCGCTTTTTAAGCGAATAACTCGATTTTGTTTCTTATCTAGTTGATAATGAATTACAGTCACTATTTTCATTTGTGGATATTTAAAGACAATAGAAAAGTGTTTTATTGCTTGCAATAAAATTTCCAAGCAAATATTGTGTCTCCAGAAGAAAGATATTCTCAAAGACGTCTATCCTAAGACATTCTGCTCATAATGTAAATAAAAGAAATAAAATAAAGTGCTGGTCTTTGAAATTGAAATGCTTGGTTACGATTTCTTTCAACTTGTCCTAATTACATTCTGATACTTCGTCGACTTTCAAGAATTCAGATTTTCTCGATTAAAAATTCCGAACTTAAAATTATTGAAATTCTCGGGATCGAGATTCTTGGAATTCTTGAATCAACTCCTTTTTCCCGATTACATTATAATTTAAAAAATTACAAGATATAATACGATTATTAATAATCGTATATCTGTACATAGTGTACATATATCATATAAACAATCTATAACGGTTATTACATCGAAATACTTACACATTGTTATACACATATTATATAAGCATATCTTTTCATACTCTACATAGATAATTCTATATGACTTCACAATGGAGTTTAGTTCAATCCGATTTAATTAAAAATTATTCTTAATTGTTAATTATATCTAGTTTCTATATTCTCTTAATGTAACAGAAAGTGATCACTTATGAGACATATTGTACATATACATATTTTCAACTTTTATCGATATATAAGAGATCGAATTTCCTTTCCGTAAGTCATACAATTGTTAGAATTAACGCCAGTATAATCGTCGCATTAATAAATCTAATTTCCTCCGCAATCGCTACATTCTTCGGTGTTACGTATATATCGTGCTATATGTTCAACCGCGCGCTGACTGCGATTGTGTCAAATGTCGTGGAATCTGCAATATTCCGGAACTGTGATGAGTGTGAATTGCGATACGCGCGCGGAAGACACTTCTCTGACATAATAAAAATGCGGGGGGGCCAGAGTACGAGGGAATGAAGGACGCGCGTATTCCGCGCAATTTAATGCCGTTTGTCGACGGCGATAAACCCGGGGATCTCCCGTGTTCGTGTTCTTTTCGTGAACCAGGACACGCGCGCGAACCTTTTTTGGCCTATTAGCAATGTTTCCTCATTAGCAATATATGTTTCTCTTTTGTAATGTCTGACGTCATTCCCGCGCTCAGTAACGTGACTGGCTGAACCAGGCCCTTCTTGTCGTGGACGAACGTTTTCCTGAAATGCACACAACGGAATTAGAAGAAACGTCGGGATAACATGTTAAACGTATGCAATAAATGTGTATTATATTAATCGCGCGCCCATACATATACACATTTATTCGTATGTTCCAGAATCGCTGTTAAATTATAAAAACCTTACCATTAAAAGTCACTTATGTTCATTTCTATCAATGCAGATTTACTTTAATCTCGGTTTAACTTATTCTTTATTTTTCTTATTTTCTAAAACTAGAAAAAGGTAAAAAGTAAGTTAAACCGAGATTAAAGTTAAGCTACATCGGTAGAAATGGGCATTATAAAGTAATTTCGATTCAAGTTTGATCAATTTTGTCGACGTTCAATTCAATTGAAGCAGAATTTCTTATAGCTAGATTATAGTGTCTGTTTCTATCAATACAGATTAACTTTAATCTGTACTGTTCAATATACTTGTTATTAATCGTTTTCTAATTCTTAGAACCAGAAAGTAAACGATTACTTTATTTTATCTTTATGACGGTTATTTTATCAAGACGTATCTACAGACGTATGTTTTAATTAATTGTTAGAACTATTAATTTTCCTTTCGCTTGACACGTAGAAAGAAGGATTAGACGTCAGAAACGCTAAACTTTTGTACAGCTAGAAATTTCTTATGTCTATTTCTACCAATGTAGATGTTTAACTTTAATTTCAATTTAACTTACTCTTCACCTTTTTCCAGTTCTAAGAATTAGCATCAATAGTTCTATCCGTTCTAACAAAAACACTGCAATGTAGATATACGTCTCTTAAAATGACCATCATATATAGATCTAGATAAAATAAATGATAAAGTTAATCGTTTGATTGAAGTCACTCTTGTCCTTTTGCTTTCGATCAAGCTCCGATTAATATAATCGGCAATTGAAATTAACTTACAATTAGTCAAATAAGCTTGTGATTGTCCGCTCCGGAATTTCGCTCCGCTACGTCCCTGGCAGCGTCCCACTACTCCCACTCCGCATTACTCGGCCAGGTTCGCAGCGTTCGACTGACTCGACTCGCCGCATTCGGCGCATTCAACAGCTGGCCAGTGAACGACGAAGTAGTGGGTGAACGGTTTCTCGCGCTTCATGGATCGCAACGCGTAATATAGGCTGTATCGATGACACAGCTAGCACGGACGTGATCTTCAGCTCCAACCTCGTTGGCCCGCGCGTTTTTCTTTCTCGAGGTGAGTCTCGAAAGCTCTCCGTTTCCTCTCCGGGGCTACCGACTTTCGGGGGGAGGGACACTTAGATTCCATGATGATGATGATGATGAAAGATAATTTCCTCCGTTTTCCTCCTTTTGTTCGTTTTTGTTGCTTTATAACAGTAAACGGTGTTGCTCTCTGTTAAGCGAGCGCGTTATCTCTTCAATGCCGTCGCTCCATTTAAAATTGTTTCGTCGCCGTCTCCGACGATTATCTAACATTTTTTTTCCTTCCCTCCTTTCCGGACCGAGGACTCCATTCAGCAGAGGGTCGATTATGTATATCTTTTCCTCTAGACTCTACAGAGTGGAAACGTGAAAAGTTTCATATAACTGTCTCGATCTTTGGCTTTCTATGTGTTGAATAGAAAGAGATGGTCACATGAAACTTTTCACTTTTCACGTTTTCGCCCTGGGAAAAAAGATACATAATCGACCCCCAGCAGAATCGTGGCCACGTGGCTCATCTTCGCTCGGTTGCGTCACTCGAGCATCCATCAGCCGCGTATGCCGTGGACAGGAAGTCGACTCTGCCCCGCAAAGTGTCAAGTTGTCTTTTCTTTCAGAGTGCCGCATCGATACACCATGAACAACAGTTACGATGTCAAACCCAGTGACGATGCCGCCGTCACGACAGTGCCGCATCAGCGTATGCACGAGTCGGAGCCGGGAAAGGTCACCGAGAACACTTCCCTGTCTCCCAACAACAATCAGACCTACTTCGCCGACGAGAGGGTGCCGGTGCCAGAAACAGGACACGTAAGTTTGCCTTCGTAGCGCTGCAGGGATTGAGTAAGGCAATGAGAATGCGAGACTATAAATTATAAGAGAATTAGATAATGGAAGAGAATAAGACAATGAGAAGACGGTAATAGGAATGCGTGCTCTCTTCCCAGTCAGTCACCAACAAACTTGACATCATCGATCTTGGCCCATGCCTGATGTAGACTTGAATTCTTTTTCGCAGACGGGGTTTAGCTTTAGGAAACTATGGGCTTTCACGGGGCCTGGCTTTTTAATGTCCATAGCTTATCTGGATCCTGGCAACATAGAATCGGATCTACAATCCGGAGTGGTGGCAAGATACAAGGTATGCCCTGGAGTCAAGGACAAAAGCAAAAACTGCAAAAGCTGCCGCAATCAGTTTTATTTACTTTACTATCAAATTCTCTTATCTTCTTTTTTTTATAATATTCCTTGTTGACGTCTTCGCTTTCAGTTATTATGGGTACTACTAAGCGCTACTGTCCTAGGTCTCGTTATGCAAAGACTCAGCGCGCGCCTCGGCGTAGTTACCGGTCTACATCTGGCAGAGATGTGTTACAGACAATACAAAAAAGTACCTAGATTTATTTTATGGATAATGATTGAAATAGCGATTATTGGTAGTGATATGCAAGAGGTAATAGGAACGGCTATTGCCCTTTACCTCTTATCTAACAAAGCGTAAGTGGCCGATACGATTGCTAAATATTTATCTTTAACACGCGCAAGCTAACGTGTTCAAAATATTCCTTGGAGTATGGAACATTTTAAAGCGTCGTAGCTCGCGATTAATCCCTTCGGTGTCGAATACATTTATTTTAATCTCTGCTTAAAAGAACCTAAAAAACCTTTCTAACTAAATGCAAAATACATGGGGAATAAAAAGTATTTCATATAATATACGAAAGATGGATCATAATCCGCGTGATATACGTATGTATGTTTGCAAATTACGTTTACTTATTTTGCAGATATTATTACGTTAAATTGCATACTTTTTATGCATTTTGTTACCTCTCTTCGATTATTATTTTCATTTCTCTTCTCCCTTTTTTCTTTACCATGAATTTATAATTGCAAATAACGCACGTAAATATGCAGATTTGTGAAAGAGAAAGTTACGTTTCAGGATTCCTATATGGGGTGGCGTACTAATCACAGTAGTCGATACATTCACATTTTTATTCCTAGACAAATACGGATTGAGGAAACTGGAGTTTTTCTTTGGTTTTCTCATCATGATCATGGCTGTTACCTTCGGTTACGAGGTAAATTCATTTCTTAGAATATATTTCGATATTGCGTTGCTGATTATACCTTATTGCTACAATGTCTTTCGATGTTTCAGTATGTCGTTTCCGAGCCCTCTCAAATAGATGTTATAAGCGGTATGTTTGTTCCATGGTACAATGGAATGAATTACGATAACAAGGTACTGCTTCAAGCGGTGGGAATCGTCGGCGCGGTTATTATGCCGCATAACTTGTACCTTCATAGTGCCTTGGTCAAAGTGAGAATAATGACCATACTATAATATATTATGATTATGCGCTAATTCCTTAATATATATGAAAGATCATTTATTTTTTAGTCCAGAGACATTGATCGAAGACAGCCTGCAAAGATCAAAGATGCCAACATGTATTACTTCATTGAGGCCTGCATCGCACTATTCGTTTCATTTCTAATCAACGTCTTTGTCGTAGCTGTATTTGCTCATGGTCTGTTCGACAAGACGAATGACGATGTTGTGAGTATAAGTACAGTTATTAAAACCGATATAGGTGATTTTGGACGAATAGTTGAATTAATTTCTGTTTTATTTCGCAGTATAAACTTTGCGAAGCAAATAATTATACTCTCGGCATGGAAACTTTTGTTGTAAGTGTTTTATAGCCTTTTATATTTAATTCTTTCCGCTGTACAAGCACATGTAAACTAGTGTTCTTTAGTCAAACGTTTTCAAGTATCCTTTCCTCTAAATTCCAGCAAAACAATGCGACATTCAGTGCTGATCTTTACAAGGGTGGAGTCTTCCTCGGTTGTTCCTTCGGCGCAGCCGCAATGTACATATGGGCCGTTGGTATTTTAGCCGCCGGACAATCGTCCACGATGACGGGCACTTACGCCGGTCAATTCGCGATGGAAGGATTCTTAAATCTGCAGTGGGCACGATGGAAACGAGTTCTCTTCACTCGAACAATCGCTATAGTTCCTACGTTCTTAGTAGCGTTCTTCGCCGACATGAACAATTTGAGCAGCATGAATGATATTTTAAACGCTATAATGAGCTTGCAATTACCGTTCGCCACCCTGCCGACAATTGCCTTCACCAGCAGTGCTCAAATCATGGGTGAATTCCGAAACGGAATGTACGTAGCTTCGTCCAAATTTTCAATACTTTTAACACATAGAAACTTCCTTCTTTACGTTCCGTAATTATATTATCTGTATTGCAGACTGAATAAGATCGTGTCGACCGCTTTATCGGTCCTAGTGATAGTGATAAACATATATTTCGTGGCACAAACTGTCCAAGAAGACCTGCCCAACAATTGGGCTATCTACTTAGCCATGTCTGTGTATGCGATTTTGTATCTTATTTTTTGCGCTTACTTGGCTATCCACATGGCTGTGAGTATGGGTGCAACTTCCCTCGGCAATAATTGGGTATGTACATTTTTGCCTATATTTATAATACATGCGTGTGCTATTTGCTTTGACATTAAATTACGTCTTAGCCACAATTTTTCAGCATTCTGATAATTATATCTAGAATATAATAAATTTTATTTTTTATAATAAAATATGCGATAATCTTTTCTTTTTAATAATTTACTTCATTATTTTTCATTTCAGTTCGTTACTAAGTACATTGGTACGCCCGTAAGTCCGACCCTAGGTATATCAAATCCTGCCGTTTACGCCAGGTAAGAATTTTAGCGACAATCATTTATCGTAATTGTAACCAAATCCAGTAATTTCGCCAAGTAACGCTAATCATGTGTCTGTCCTCACGGCAAATTTTTTTTAAACCGAGAAATTGTAACAAAACTGAAAAACTGTAGTTTTGCATGTATTACTTGAAATATTTGATGCAATCGAGACTAATCTTGTATATAAAACTATTTGCTGGTGTGGTAATTTTATACGTGTGCCTATTTTGTGTGTTGTATGCTTTAGCGTCAACTGTATAATAAAAATCTTTTACAAAGCTGGAAATTTACTCAGAATGTGACTTCATGCGAATAAAATGCATTTATGTACTGTTGCATCCGCGTTAAGTTCGTCGTTACGAACATGCGATCGTATACCAAGCGCGATAACAAATATATGCAATATCTTTTGACTCGCTTTTTAGTTAAAGTTGGAAAACGCTTAAATTTGAAAAATAACGAATTTAATGAAATGCGTTTATAGACTGCTTAAACATATTTTTTTCTGAGATTAACAATTGGGGAAAAAATATGGTGAATTTGGAGATGATTGAGAGTGCAAAACTTGCTTGCGATGTAACTTTGTGTGTTAAAATAAATAATTGCTAGGTTGACTTGTGATTCATGCTTTCTGTACCTCACTTGTAAAAAGATAATTGTCTTCCTGTTATTTACTAATAATAGAACACGTTTGAATACTCACACTTGTACGTCTGACTAGATTAAGTATGTGACTTGGTACGTTAAGTGCTTTTTTAATTGTAAGGTATTCTTATCGTGTTGTTGTTCGAGAGCTCTATTTTCTATAAATTCCTTAATTATTTTTGTTTAAAAAGTAACTTCTAACTAATGCACGTACTTTACTTATAAGTATATCATATTATAATGTTTACTTTTACATTACACTATATGAGCTCTCGTAAAGGTATTTGTTTACAATAGTTTGGGAGTACTGTCTTTTTAAGGGTTCTTAAATGTAATCCGTTATCATTAGTTGGTGCTGTGTCAAATGTATATAAATGATCTCTAAGGAAAGATAAATATATAAACTACAAGATAACGTAAGTTTAGCTCTAGTTTTTGATACAGACAGAGTTCTTTTCATTCATAGTTTCCACAATACGTCGGAAACCTCGTTAAACGCTTAGTCGGAGTAATGCAATTGAATGTGCAATTGAGACGTACAATATGTGGCCTTTGTGTTCCACGAACACGTGAAAACAATGTCGTGTCGGAAAGGTGCTTATATCATCTCGTGATGTCAGCATGGTGCCTCATGGTACGTGTACGATCAATGAAAGATGTATTTTTACGATAAATAAACAAGAATGCTTTTTACCACAAAGTTTGCTTCGTCATCGTTATTGAATGATATACATATATTCCGGAACGTCGTTGCTCCTATACCATTCTGCTGTTGTCAATTTTCTTCGTTTCTCCATCGTTTGTTTCTTGTCTCTCTAAAAATTTATGTATGACGAGTGATTAACCGAAACTATTTTCATTGCATGCACATTTTTAACAAACACAAAAGTCTGAAAATAAATCGAAAGGCTGACTCATCATAAGGTAAGAATGCTATACGTCGAAATTCATGCTGTTGCCTCGATTCGACTTAGATTCGTTTCAAGACGCGGGCAACGTTCTAAAAAGTATCCTTAAATGTTAAATATATTGCAGAACAAATCCAGCGTTTACTATACAAGAAAGCGGCAGTTTTACATCTATACCAGAATGGTAACATCTTCACAAGTATATCAGCATCGGATATGTAAACGATGTGTACTATGGGGATAGAAAAAGTCTGTTTTCAATTGCACAATTGAATAAGAGGTAATAATGCCTAGTGCATCGCATTGACATCCCATCGTTAAATTTATTAGTATCATGATTTTTTTAATTTTTCATTATATGATGGCTGGATAATTCAAATGTTAATTCGCGCATAAAAAACAACATATATTGATATAATATTACATATTCAGCAATCTTTCTTTCATTTAAGTATTTTCTATAACGATATATATATCTTTTAAATATTATTAACATATTTATAATACCTAGATTCGTTTTGCAAATTATGTATGTGCATAATAATGTCGGGTCTCAACAAAACATTGAGATTTATATTAAATACTCATGCATAATTATATACCATGTGCAATATAATGTAAATATCATTTCGAATGAATGAATTTTTATTGGTCTGCATATAAAATAAGTAATATCCGCAATAGCAGCAGATTAAAAATTTTTTTGGCGAATTACATATTATGCTATTGTTTGTAATATCACAAAAATATTCCTAATAAGATGCGCACGTCATTTTTTTCCCTCTTTATTTATAAGTACTCTAAAGTAAGTCGAGACACGCACGGACTTAGTCGCAAAACTAAGTTGCAAGATGTCAATTTTAAAACAGGAACATGATCCGCATATTTTAACTTGTAGCTCGCAGGTGTACAATCGCATTCGCAAAATTCCAATTAATATTATATATAAAAATTAGAAAAAGATGTATTCTTATAAAATGTAATATTATCTGCATGATAATTTGAATTGCTACTGCGCCTGTTTGGAATGACCGAATTTTTGTAAATAAAATTTGTTTACAGGCAGTGTTCTGCATTAGCTGTGTGTTTCTCTTTCAAAACTTTTTTTTGTCATATTTTGAAGAAGCTCGCGAGAGGTCCAAGCTTGAAACATCACGACTAGACAATCACTGTAATATCACATGTATCAGACAGTTAATCGTAACAATAATTAAGTTGTGCAGCTATTCTATAAAGTAGAAGTTCTTGCGTTTCATAAAATTTTGTGACAAAATTTGTTCATTGCATATTTCGCAATATGCTACATTACTCACATTGAACATTTATTATACAAGACATTTATGCATCTGACGATATATTACAAATACGCGTGTTTTATAAAAGTACCTGATTATTTGTCTCTCTCGGTAGTCGTAAAATAAAATAATTTTCTAAAATATAAAATTTCGATATCCATTTGTCTATTCGGATTTACTATTTCTTAAAATAGCAATATAAAATCGTTATTATCGCGATGGTCGGACTTTGATCTTGCTCAGTTTCAAATAAGTTATTATCGTGTAAAAGTGAGCAAACCTAAGTTTCCAAAGGAATATCGCGAATTCAACGTAGATGAAAACATATTATTTCATGAAAATGAGCAAAAGTTCAAAATATGTCTCTAATATATCACCATAAAAAAATAGCACATCACGAGGTTGATGTGATATAATAAATTATATCACATATATATATATATATATATATATATATATATATATATATATAATGATTAAATTGTGTTATTCGTTATAAAAGAGCTTCTTTATAAGAAGCGCTTTTAAAATAAAGCATAAAAATATTAAAATAAGAACTATTTAGTGATTTAAGCAGTCAAATAGACATATATATATACTATATATCGAACATCTCGTCCCAAATTTTAAGAAAAATTTGTAAAAAAAACGCCTTGCTTAATTTTGTCGCAGGCATTAATAAATCAATGATTACCCTATATTTTTTAATACTTTTCGCCATATTAATTACTTCTACCAAATACCCGTTATATGGCATCGTTATAACCATTGTACGACAAACGAAAATAATACTGTCTGTGTTCTCTTTTATGTCGCCAATACAAAAAGCCGATTATTATTAGGACCAATAAAACTAGCATTAATATGGACGATGTCAGGATTGCTGAAACAAATAAATGATGCTAATTAAAACTCACGAGATAGCCATCTAAAGAATAATAATATACAAAATATCAATAGCACTGCATGATATAAAAAAAAGTATATATAGATATTTAATGCGATATATTAAATGCAATAATTACCGATGACATCGCTAGAACTTATATCATTCCGATTAAACATTCCTATTAAACATTCTCTCTCCCAATCTTCAGGTACAACGTCTCTCGTTAAATTAATAAATTCATTTAAAGGACATAACGTAGCGCAACTTGGTAATGTCATAAGTATCGGTTCATCAGTGGTATTTTTATAAGAAACCTGTGAGCAAAGAAAGATTGTGTGTCAATTACAAATTGCACGGAGCTTTTTGTATAAATGGTAAGCAAAATTCTTACTGTTACAAAGTACTGATTTTCCGAGTTCGTCCTTAATTCTACGAGGATCGTAGCAGCGTAAGGTGGACAATGAGGCTCGAATAAGTTCAAAGTCATAAGCAAATTCGCTATGGTCTCATCGTGAGCACTGTATACCCATAGCTTTCTGTCAGGGTGTAAGGTATGTTGCGCTTTCTTGACCATGTGATCTATCATTTCTCCAAGCAGTGGACCTAACAATACAAAAAGTTTTCAAAGTTAAGTCAACTATATAGTTAAGAGAAATTAACAAACACCTTTAAAAGCATAAAAATATTAATAAATACAAATATAAATAAATTATTAATACAACTGATTTTAACTATTACCTGATTTTAACCTTTGAAGTATCTTGTTGTAGGATTCTGTCATAAAACTAAGTACAGCAATAGGTCTCAGTTTATCTGGGAACACCGACTTCGTCCACTGCGGTAGAGTTTTGTTGTACAGTTGCTGTAAAAATAAACTCGTTGCTGTAAAGCGAGCTCTTTATTGCGTGCTTACTCAAGCCAGTGAGTAAATTATGATATGCAAACGTATACACAACTGATAATATAGAATAATCTCGACGTACCTCGATAAATAAAACATCGTATAGGTGTTCAACCGCTCTAAACGATGACATATCGTCCCCGGTGTTCTCACCTAAGTAGACATAGAGCTTTGCGTTCGCTTTATTTATGCGTTCCATTTCCGGCGACGTTAACAGCTTCTCCAGCTCGTAATCGTATCGCGCGCAGTGTTTGCTTCCCTTCAACACGTAGTCCTGCTTCTCCGGGACGGTGTGCACGGGGATTGGCATCCATTTGAGGCTGTCCCACACCTGAGCCTTCACCGGCGGATAAAGACCCGCGAGATTCGCCTCGGCCGACATCAGGGTACGATCTACGTCTGTACTGTGAACGTAGACGTCGTACGGCGAGTAAAGGTCGCTTAAAAGATGAGAGTAACGTTTCCTCAGCCAGCGTCCAAGAAGCAGGTGTTCATGCTTTCCAATCTACATTTTCCGAACGTTTAGTATCAGTAAAGTTAGCATGAAAGAAATCGATATACAGCAAGAAAAGCAATCCTTAAAATCTACTCGACATATTCAAATTTTTTTTTTCTCATATTTGCTGTGTCTAATCAATTTAAAACTTATTGCGTAGTTTATTTTCTTTATCTTTTTTAGAATGCCAAATGGTTGAAGGTTGTGCCAGAATCGAACGTCGCAATATTATGTTACACTTTTCAATAAAGATTATGATAAGATAAGGAAAAATGACCAGGAAAAAAATATTCACAATATTAGAGGACAAAGCGTAATCTCTGTAACCATTTATGTCTACGTTTGCTTATCGTAATTGTCTTCCTTACATTCGTTAACTGTCCATATGGAACCGGCCAGAACGATTCGTTATTGTAAGGGTCGTTCTTGTAAGGCCGAACAGGAGTCCTATCTCCATGCCTGTACAACTGTGAACAAGAAACGAGCTCCGTTATGTTTTAGCAATAAGTTTCTTTAATAACTACTTAGCATTAAATGTCAAGTTGAAAGCTATTTTAGCGTTTTGCCTCTAAAATTATCCATCAATTTTAACAACGTTAAAAGACACATCAATAACGAAATATAAAAATATCGAGCTATAAATATAAACATAAAAACAATATTGCGTAATAAAAAGGTATTGAACTTGGAGTTACGTAAACAGCTGTATTAAAAGCAAGAGAAAAAGAAACGAGCGCCAAATCTATCAGACACGTGTAAGGTCAACGATTCATCGCGCGATTCGTCACTTTGCTCGCTCACCACGTTCGCGAAGACGACCGTGCCCAGGTCGAGGTCGCCGGTGCCGGAGCAGCTGACGGCGAGGATGCTCGCGAGGGCGACCAGCACTCCGATGTCCATGTCCGCGTGACGGTCTCTCTTGGTCGCTCTCTACTCGGCGTCGCGGCTCGGAGCAGCGGCGGCGGCGGCGACGACGCGACGACGGCCGCACGTGTTGATCGCACGTGACGTCGCGGATCCTCTCGGAGCAGATTCACCTAGTATCCGTACGTCGCGCGCACACTTACACGACGCGCACGCGACGGCGACGCGGCGACGTGTCGTGCGTGTACATACATCCGCACAAAGAGTACGACTCCGTACTCCGTTGTGCACAAAGAACCCCCCCGGCGCCCCCCTCCCCCGGCCTCGCCAGGACTGTTGCCCCGTCCCCACTATTTTACAAGTTTTTCCACCGTCTTGGAGCCGTCCCCTTCCCCCTCCGCCCGTTCAGCATTCTCTCTCTTTTTGTCTCTTGCGTTCTTTCTCTTTGTCTCTCCTTTATTTTCTCCGTTTATGCACGGTCACGTGGTCAAGTGCAATGGGGGAGGATAGGGGAGGAGCAATGTGTAAGGCGCAGTTTACGGGGGAACAGCTGTTTCAGAATAGGGGAGCTCCATTCCATTCTCCAATGCTCCATTATGCAAACGTCCGCGCTTGCCGCTTACGCGGCGAGTTGTACGACGGGTTCTTGCAACCGGGGAGCCCGATCCGGTGCTTGGAGCACCGTTGTCTTCGCCGGCACTTGACATTGGACGTACGTCGAATGAATCACCCGATGAATCGCCGCGAAGGCATAAAATTTGCAAAGACATACAATTCTTCCGGACTTGACGATGCGAAAAAAAAAACTTGTTAAAATCTTGAATGGCACGAATTCTTAATATTTTGACGCGTCTGTATTGATATGCACATAACATTATAGCTTTAGTAAACTCGAGTTTTGAGTTTGAGAGATAGGTTCCTTTGTTAGATCCTCTAATTCCCTGAAATTATTTTTCTGACTCTAATGATATTTGTTCGGTACTTAATACTTATGATGTAGTGGTAAACATTGTTCCTGGCAACTAACTTAATCTTTGCATATCTGAAGAAATAACAATAAATAACAATAAATAATGAGATAGATAAATAAATTTGTAATTACAAATTGACCATCACCTTTCATCATCTGTACAATTTGCATCTGAAAATTGTGGCTTATATACAATTAAGAATGAAGTTTTCTCTCCAACTTACAAGAATATAATATCTAGCTTTATAGAAAAATCTTGCCTTGTGTTTGGATGCCCGTCTAAATAGTCCAGATTATCGATACAAATAAGATTCATTTTTAGCTGATTACCGAATTATACCTTTGTTGATTGGCATCCATTATATCATCTTCCGAAGGTATATTTAATTCAATACTTTGTGTATCTCCTACCACTTCTCAATTAGTTTAATGATATGTAATCCATCTATCTCCGTTGTTTACAACTTGCATTGTTGGAGTGACAAAAGAAATTAATGTTTACAAGTTCAACATTAATTTCATTCGTCATCCCAACAATGCAATTACATGATTTTTCTGTATTCTTGCCAAGAACATTCTTTGAAAAATTAAGGAAAAAAAAAACATTGTCATATCTATCACAGAGAGAATGAATTAATAATTAAATAAATTGTATTACTTGAATCAGACTGTATTTCCGTATTTGTGTTTATTGAGAGCGATGAACTTATCATACTATTAGAAATATCCTTTTTTCTTATCACTTCTTTACTTTGTATATTTAAATCACTGTAGCTTTCTTCTTTATAATAATTTTGTTTATTTTAATTAAACAAACGAAAATAACTACAATGAAGAAAGCTACAGTGCCGGTTGGATGCTGTCAATTTGTCACTGCATGGTAATGTGGGATTTCGTAAAAAAAACGTAAAATCTGATGTTGACGACACACCTGTTTGTTAAAATTATATATTAAAATTTTAATCTACCCTTTTAAATATTAAAATTGAATATATCAATGTTAGATATCTATCATAAATACATTGAAATTGAAATATCGTGCAATAAAATCAATTTAAAAAAATACCAAATATATTAAATGTTTCACAGAGGTCTCAATACATACCTAAATCTTGATTAAATGAAGATATCACATTTTCACTATATGCTTCCTCCTTTAATATTTTCTTTTTGGATACATTTGTGAAAGATTTAACATCCTTCCCATTATTACTTGAAAAGGAACTGATACTCTCATACGCTCCTGCTTTGTATCAACAATTTGCAATCTCACTTTTTTTACTATTTAGTGATAATTTAGTTAAAACATTAGGCAAATATATATATATATAATTTCACGTTAATATAGTATTGTTATTATAAAATTATAAATATTTTTTTTCACTAAAGTTATGTGCATTTAACTGCAGGAAAAGAATTGTTTAGAGAGAGTGAAAACGTATAGCATGTACGTTCTTTTCGAAGCTATCCGAGTTACATTCTATTTATTTTCGTGTTGTAGGTTTAAACCTAAGAAAGTGTTCTCGCTAACTCACCTTGTATATACACAGCTACATGACTTGCTACTCATAAAGGGGACTAATGCTTTAGCTTCACTTTCTACCTTGTTCTCTTTTCACTTTCTCTCTTCTTAGGAAAAAATGTGGCCAAGGGGGAACGGACGCTCTCACTATGTGTCGACAATGACGGGCGAAATTAGTCGTAAAATAAATTTTACCAGCGAGAATATGTCTAGCGTAGTGTAGGACAAATCCTGATTGACAATAATTAAAAATTTGTATATTTTCACATTGCACATATGTACATAAAATTTTATCGCAATTCGTTCGGTACGTATAAATGTTCTTTTGAAACTAGAATTATCATCCGTTAATAGTAATATTTATCATTGTGTCGGTAGTGTACACTGTAAAAGCCCCGTTTTTTTCTTAAAAACCCACGTAATTTACACGTAAAATACATATAACAACTGACTATTGTACACGCTTGCATGTACAAAAGGATTTACTTTCCCTGTATGCATTACAATCTATATAGGACTACATATAACTATATATAATACATACAATCCACCTTAGAAAATATTAATAGAACTATACTTTTTATATCTTTTTATACAGATTGTCCCGGAAGTCACGTACCTCTTTCTAAGATATAAACATTAAAAAGCGGACATGATGAATAAAGTAATTCTATATCTATATATATATTTCACATATTCTTAAATATGTGATAAAACACATGATACATCTACATAGTATACGTAAGTCATAGACATTTTATTATAAAACAATACAAATCTGAATGTATAAAAAAAAATGCGTTGTACCTTTTTCTACGTGTTTTAAAATAACGTTTGTATTGTTTTACAAAAATGCGTAGCAAGCCACTTTGATCTCTTACTTGACAATAAATGCAGATAAAAGTGTCTTTCGATCGAACTTTCGCCGAGACTCAATTGACCCATTATTCAGCGGAGAATCTACAGACGAGAGAAAGTGTGCAACTTCCGAAACAGGCTGCATTTGTAAAAATATACAGAGACCTAACTTTTTTTTAATCACAATTCACGTTTACTAACGTAATCGCAGATTGCATTAGGACAGCTTCGTCTCTATGAAAAGCTTTGTAAAACTAAAAGAAATCTCCGTACGTTTGCTATAATTCAACATTAGTAACCCAAACACTGGAAATAGGTTCTTGGCTGCGTAGGAATAACAGTCGTGACATCACAGTCTTCGTTGGCGATAACGCTGCATAAAGTTGATCAGCAAGTGAGCGACGAATGGCCATAGGATTAGTAAGACAAACAAACGCGGCGGGCATTCTTGCAACGGCCACCATCTCGCATACGTGCGTCTACCGGTGTGCTCCTAAAACAGAAAGAAGTATTGACGTCAGCATTTTTATACGCGATAGATAAAATGCGATGAATAAATAATGAAACGAGAAGTATTACTTCTTATTCTATTATAATAAGATGCGATGAATAAATAATAAAACGAGAAGTATTACTTCTTATTCTATTATATTTCAAGGAGATAAAAAGTACGACATTCTTATTTCCATTGAAATTGGATATGTCTAAATAGTAATGATGTTACGTACCGTTTGCGGCGCCAGCGCTTGCAGGGCTTGCCCTTCCAAACCTCGTACTCTGGCCGTTATACGATCCAGATCTCTCTGTAGATGCTGCATAGTTGTCGCGATCTGATTTAGGAATTCCGCATTGACTTTATTGTCGTCTTTCTTCGTTCTCTGTCTACCTCTCTCTCGATGGCCCTCCGTTGCCGTTTCCGCGTGACCGTTAGCGTTGCTGTATCCATTAGTCAATTCAGTGTTTTCTTTTACAATATTCTCAGTACTTGAACGATCAATTCCGTTCTTTGTCGTGCTTTGTACTTTTTGAGGAGCAGTAGTAGACTTAAGTGCATCTTTTTGTGCTTTCTCCGGCGCTGACTGTAACAAAAAATCGTATTATTTGTATAAGACAGAATGATTGACGTAAATGTAAATATAAATGTTAATGTCGTACTTCAACAGTATCTATAAATTCCTCTTCTTCGCCATCGGTGTCCTGTGGCAGCGGGCTTGCAGTGCGACTGCTGGTCGGGCTGGTTTCCAAACTACTCGTTATATGCCGAGAAGCATTCATCACTCTGTGAGGTGATGTTTCTCTAGATGCTGATAAAATAAGAAAGCATTAGAGACAAAAGATTGTAGAAGAAAATATTTTTTGATTGTGTATGTTGTGTTTAGTCAAGGAACTTGAAGCTGTTATCATGTTATTGTACAATATTATCACACTGATAACACAGAAAACATTGATAACTTTGAATTATTTCAAGTATCATAATAAATATCTGATATTCTAAATGCTCTTCCAATATCTTCAATTTAGATCTTTGGTAAACATGATTATATAAATCCGATGTTTTGGTTTAATTCTTGGTATCTGATTGATTAATCCTCGAATAGTTTTAAATAATATATATGCAGTAGATTATTGCTATACATGATATGTTAACGTTGAGATAAGATAATGTAATTAATTGAAATTTAAATGTTGCTAAAAGTAAAAAAGGAACGAACCTAATGGTGAACCAGACAATGGTGATCCCGGTTGGGAGCGAATACGCTCCAGTACTGGTCCCACGAGTAATTCCAAATCCTCAGCCGGCACGCTTTCGTAGAAGGAGTCCAAACTGCCGAGAAACGTTGCCACATTATCCGTGTAAGACATCGTTTCGACAATCTGCAACGCAAGACGTTTAATACGTTCATCTTTGTGCGAGTGTGATTTTTATTGTTATTTCACAAACGCTTACTTTCTTCAGTTCCTCCACATAATTATTCATGGCTTCTGTACGACCCATATTGCCAAGGCGTGTCCACGCGTCCCATTTCGCTTTCTTGACAACTTCCCAGAATGCGGGTTTAGATTGTTGACAGGGTCCCTCGGTCGCTTGTTTGTAGTACGAATAAAAACGCAGCATAATCTCATGGCTGGGCTGATACGCTCCTAAAACGTTAAATATTAACGATATATCAGACTGTCAAAATTATAATCGTTAAAAATTATATTATATTTCCGATTGGCATTATTATTAATTCTTGCTGAATATTTAAGATTGCTTTAACATATTATAGCATTCGTGTTGCAAAAACAAGAAGTTTTAATCGAAATTGATATCCTGATTAAACGAGCACTGAACAGAGATACAATGTGATACACGATGATATTTTTATCTTCTATCTATCTCCTTGACCCCCCCCCCCCAGCTAAAGTGTTGAAAATATTCTCTTAGGCATGACGGAACGGATTAATAATATGGTAATTTATACATCGCATGATAATTACATAGTCTAAAAAAACGTATTATTATATGTTACAAGCTACACTACGTGTATATATTAATAACAAATATTAGACACGCTACAAAAATTTTAAATTGTATTTCCAATGAAATTCATGATCTCAGAAATTAATGTTAATATAAGAAACTGTTGTAGCAATTACTGTGAAAGCTCATCGTCTATCTTTGTTACCAGGTAATGCCTCATTGAATCATCTTCCTCGAAACTCAAATGTGATATGTCTATATAAAGTTCGCATCTCTTCGATAAAACGTGTGATGTACTTTACACTTTACCATTACAATACAATTATGTCTATATACTTTTTTTTTCAAGACGTTAGTTCGTGGTACGAGAATACTAAGAAATCGGCGATATCAAGAAATGTGAAATAAAAAGTATTGTAACTTTATCCGATGCATTTTTTGTACTTCGTCTGTTAATAAGTGACCTGGAAAAAAATAATTATTAACAAAATTTCATAACTGCTGGTGCAACACAAGTTACTTTTTTGTGATCAGTGAAGAGTAACATTCTAGTTTTAACTACTAACCGTGTCTTGCGCACTGTTAGAAAGTAAAGTGGGGAGTAATACAGTCACTTAGCTATATGAAGTGACTGGAAAGTACACTCGTACGTGCAATATCTAACCGATCTAACGTAAAGGCTGCACAATAAAAAAATGCACATGTATAGATTTGAATGACAAAACGATCTTGATAATACGACATTGAGATTAATCGTGAAACGTTATTTTGATTTATAGATATTAAAAGATAATTCCTTATTTTTAATTCCAGCTCCTAATAAGACTTTTACAGAAAAATAGTCACACTCCCGTTTTTCTTTTCACAAAAGAGCAGACGTAATAAACAGCGATAAAAAAAAAAACTGGTTTACGAAAATAAATATTGTGATTTTATTTAAGCTATACTATGAGTTATAGCATTTGAGAAATGCAAATCAGCAAGCCCGTCACATTTTTCGACATAATTATCAAATGTGAAGGGCATTCACGTCGCGGCGCAAAGAGTCTCAAAGGTGAAGCTGTCCAGCAGGACGGACAAATACGGCGGACATGAAGATTTCTTCCGCACTGCGCGGGGACTCGAAAAATGGAATTATTTTTTCCCCAATAACGTTCTCCACGTCGCGAGAATGAAAAATTGACTTGGGGAACATTCACTTTCCTCGACATGATTAAATCTTGCCAATTTCTCCGCACGGCAGCGCGTAATGTCTGCAAGATCTTCGTGCTCGTTTCCGTATATAAAAATAAAACCACCTGCGATAAAAAGAAAAGCTAAAAGTCGCTCATACAAGTAATTAAAGTTTAAAGATCCACTTCGCGTGGGTTTTACCGTGTCGTTGCGCCAATGTTTTCAGATTAAAAAGATATTTGTACGAATCTCGATGGAATCAATTTTTTCCGACGCTTCTCGAAAACGTCGCGGAAAAAAGCTTCGTGTTATTCATTGTCGCCTTTTCAACGTTATGAATAAATGCATGAGCCGTTTTTCGCGCGAGGGCGACAAATAATCAGCAGCGACATTAACGTGGACTTTAACCAGCACGCAATAAAGCTACACGGCCGAAGGAAGAGAGGCGAGAAAGGAAAAGAAATCAACAAGCGTGGAAGGTAAAAAGCGATTGCACTAGCGCTGCGATATATCTGCCGCGTTCGCGTTCCCAGGCGAACGCAAGAGCGGATATGCGAGGCGTGTGAGAGGTAAAACACATTTCCGAATGCACGGCCAACGAAATGTTGGCCGAACCGCGCGTAAGAAATCGAGGCGTGTGTGCCTGCAGCTCGGTCGCGATAACGCCGCGACGATAACGCGGGGCGTAGGGTCGTCTCTCACCATTTTTCGGCAGGCTCCTGATCACGTTCACGGCGGCGTTGAACTTCTCCTCCGTCGTCATGTTTCCCGGAGGGACGAGCGGCGCGGCGGTATGTCCTCTTTACTTGCCTTCTCCTACGGTATCCCACTGTCCCTTATGGGGGACGCGACGTGGACGGCTTCTCGGCTGCGCGATATCACGGCCGCGATACCCTCTGGCAGTATAAGAAAAAAAAAAAAAAAACCCAAGAAAAGAGGAAAAACACTCTGGACTCCGAAACCGATCTCGGCGGCAGCGCGAGCGTGGCGTACCTGGCCGACGACTGGCGGCTTACTAACTATCACGTCGACTCGTCCACCGTCGAGAACCGGACTGGCCTGTTTGCAAACCACGGAGGGACTGCCGAACCGACTGCCGTTGTTGACGTCTGTCGGGACGTTGATCATCCAGGCGGGTCACGCGATGGCCGCGATGACGATGACTGGCTGCAGCGACAATGACTGACAGATTGTTGTCGTAGATTATCGTACCGTTTGACGATTGGCGGTCGTCCGGGGTGGTCCGGGGCAGCGCTCGCGGGCATGCGCGAGCCCGAGTTGTCCAGGAAATTTCAATAACCTCCGTCAGCTGTAATTGCTGTAAATGATTAATACAAATTAATTTCCACAACTCTGTCGATCGACTTCTCGATATTGATCCCATGCTATCCAGCATGGTCCCGTGCTGTCCCGTGCCCTCTCTCGTCACGGGCAGGACAAATTATGAATTCTTCACGAATAATTACATTAATTTCATTAATAACTAGATATCTCTAAATTCTTGACAAATAAAATCGCACAATCACAGCTTTAGAGAAGAAACAAACTTCTTCTCATTTAGCTAGTCCCTCTGCTTATTGTTTGCACAAGCCAATATCATGTAAACTACAATTATAATCCTTAATAAATTAAATTACATGATTGTCACGGCTTTCTCGGAGTGAACACTTTTACTATTTTAGCTAGTATTCTGCCTTAACTTGTCGCAAACATTGTGTCGCATTGTGTAAACTATAATCAAATAATTATCATAGCTTTCTCAAACATTTACTTTTACTATTCAACCTGATACTCTGTCTTAGCTTCTTGCAAGCAAACATTATGTAAATTATAATCAAATACAATCCTTAACAAATTAAATTACATAATTATTATAGCTTTCTCAAACACTAACTTTTACTAATCAACTGATACTCTGTCCTAGCTTCTTGCAAGCAAACATTATGTAAACTATAATCAAATATAATCCTTAACAAATTAAATTACATAATTATCACAGCTTTTTCAAAAACTTTTGCTATTCAATTGATACTCTGTCTTAGCTTATCGCCAGCAAACATTACGTAAACTGTAAACAATTATAAATTATAATTCTTGAAAAATTAACTTACATAATTTTATTAATTGTCACAGCTTTCTCGGAGCGAACATGCATTTCTGTTATTCAACTGATATTCTGTCTTAGCCCGTCGCAATAAGCAAGAATTACGTAAACTATAATTATATACATAATCCTTAGCAAATAAAATCACACAATTGTTATAATTGTCACTCTCAAGTAGATTTCTATTCGTTCAACTGGTTCTACATTAGCCTCAACCAGTTCCATCCTACTCTACAAGACTATAATTCCTCGATGCGCGTAAAATTGCACAATTATCGCTCCCAGGCGCTCGAGCTGTCAGATCCACGATGACACGCTACGGGAACACGGGAAGGAGCGATAGAGAGAGAGAGAGAGCCGGTCGACCTCGCGGAAGGAGGAGGCACGAGCCCGCAATCCCGTCCCGATTTTTCCAACTCTATCGCACGCGAATTCGCTCGAGCGAGCGTAATTGCGAAGCGTGACGAGCCCCGATCTTCGGGCAAGAAACCTGACACTACCTGACAAACCGCGCGTTGCACGGTGCAATTTAATTCGTCTTTTTTCGACGATGGGAGAGGGCGGGAGAAGGGGTTACACGCTGACCGTATATCTCGTTGATTTCTGTTTTCCTCTCCCTTCTCTTTCCAGGGGCGGGGGGGGTCCAAACGGCGGAATCCGAGCAGCTCCAGGATCGCGCGATAACCGCAAATTATCCGCGAGAGACGGAATCGGAGAAATTTAAACGCGCCGTCACTGGGCGGCGAAATCGTTAACGTGCCTCGCGATTGTCAGGCGGCGCGCCGCGCGGGCGCCGCGTCGACAGTTCCGTCTGCACTTTTCTGCACTCCGTCGCCGCGATGTGCAGCGTGCAGCTGCGTACCTTTTGCACTTAAAATAAAATAAGCGTTGATAAATCATGCAATTCGACGTTGGGAGGGAGAGGGAGAGAAGAAAACTAGAAGTACGAAGATTCAATTGCAAAGGACCTACATCCTTCCTTCATTTCGTCCTCTGTTGCTCCTCCAACGTCTGAGCGTAAATTGTGAAAAGAGCTGTCTCGTCGCGGGTGCAGAACAGAGAAGGTACAACCAGGTACAACGTCGTGCAGCTGGAAGGAACAGGGGAGAACAGGTAGAGTTATATGGTTCATGCCGATCGAAACATTCGTAACACTGTACTAACTGTGTAACTTCAAACCCTGAAGAAGCAAGTGGTCGAGTCAAGATTGTATGTATCCCGTACGCGTCAGTATTTCTTGAATGAACACTTTAAATCGCGTCGTTCTTCGATTACCGGAAACATGCCCTGACATACGCAGCTTTTGTGTCTAGTAGATCGAGCAGGTTTAAGTTGGTCAATGATGACTTCGTTCGGCCGAGGTCGCGGATGGTCCAACCACCAGAGCCAGGACAGAGACCAGGGTCTACGTAGGCCAGGAGGAGGAGGAGGTGGAGGCGCGTTCGGCAGCAACAAGGTGCTGAAAGACATAGTGGACAAACTGGTCTCCCATGACGAGCGCGAGGGCCTCCCGCCGCAACTGATCCAGGAGATCGTGGACCTGTTGACCGTCGCGGTCAACGAGGACAATCTGAGGTATCCCTCGGTTCAGCAAACTTCCAGCGATTGTCGTCTTGCCACCTTCTAACACAGAGTCGCGAATTTCAGGCACGTGTGCGACTCGCTGTGGAAGCAGGCGATATACCACTCGCTGACCACAAAGTTGGCGATGGTGTTCAGCGACAACAGGGTCGCTCTGTTAGAGGATAATAACAAAAACAGCATACGAAGCCGCTTCTTACGTTTTCTACAGGATAATTATATGTGTAGGTACTTGACGAAACGCTGCCTGTTCGATCTCCCATTCTGTATTCGCGCTACTCATGTTCGCGTTGTTCTTTTAGCTAAGGAAAAAGACAGAGCAGAGGATAGAAAGATATTTGCCAACAAAATCTTACTTCACGCAGAAGTCTACTATCACATGAGACTGAACGATGGAAACAGATTAAAAATATTGGCCGAGCCATTAATTCAATATTTGGAAGATCTGTTGCAAGACAATCCTAAGGATAATATTTATTTTATCATGATACAGGTAAGATTTTGATTTGTAACACGTATATAAAAAAAAAAAGGATAAGATGGAGCTTGATCGTTTATAAAAGTGTAAAGTGTATGATTATCAAGAAATCTTGTCTTTAGCTTCTTAGATCTGGTAAGGATCTTTTCGCGGCGTGCCCGGGAGGATTAGAGAGCTTAATAATGACAATCAGGCAACTGCTGGTGAAGGAAAACCTGCACAATCCTGAAAATTATGCAGCTTTATTGCTGGTGATAGAACTAGCCAATAACGACTATGAAATTAAGGACACTCGGGTGAAACATTTTTATTTCTCAAATATCAAGTCCCTCTCTTTCGAACACCCGTTCACTCACGAAGAATTAAAGGTGATAGCAACAAAGACTGAAAATGGTAACGATTACTTGTTAAACGTCAAGTGAAGGAATTGTGTAATAAATATGTGAATGATATACTTCCGCTACCGTCACATATGATTGAGCAACTTTTTGATGGTTCCAGATAATAAATTACAGGAAGTAGATAACAGCCAACGAATTGTAAGAGAAGACGCGAAGAATGATGTATCTGGGCAAGGCAATTATTCAAAGAATTCTATTCCAAGAGCGATACGCGGTTCGGGTGCGTCAGACAAACCAAAAAAAGGAACTAATACGAAATCAAATTCACTGAGAACGACACCGCCGAGGGAAAGGAACAAGGCTTGGGGTCACGACGATAGGTTTCACGAGCATTACGAATGAATATCTTGTACAAGGTATATAGACAACAATACATTCACAAAGTGAATTTTACTTCGACTATATGTTTATGCGCACTTGCGTGTATAACGGCAATTATAAAATTGTTTCTACATTGCAGTTCATTGTCGGTCTGCTGACGCACAGAATAAATGAAGTTACAAAAGAGATTTTAAGAAAGATCATGGATACTATGGATGTATGTATACGCGACGGTATACGTGACGTATATTGTCGTGGTTGCGATCAGTGTGAGCAAAACCATATTGGATTCCTTTTTTTCGACAGAGGAAGAGAAGAGAACAGTTCCATTTTGTCCTATTTCGACATCGAAAATTTAACGGAATGTGATATGCTCTGATATTATCGTGCTTTTATCTTACGCTCAGGCAAAATTTCCAAGTGCCATGCGTTTTATGTGAGCCCATCCCTTGGAAGATCAGAATATACAAGTTTTGTAAGCAGTTTATTTATGAACATATATCGTGTCATTGGGACATTAAACAATCTTCTCTCTCCTATGATTCGCAAGGTAGTTTATTGTGGAGTAAGAAATAAATGATATTACTTTTTTTTTATTCTTATTGTCTGAATAATTTTTGTTATAGCGGCATCATGAAATTTTAGAAGCGTCGACGTGATTTTAACTTTTTTTTTTTTTTACAATTATATTAATCTCTCAGAATAGAAGTACATCTCTTTCGCCCATCGGAACATTATTCAAGATTATATCTCACGATTTACTATGAACAAACGACATCACAGAATAATGCTATATAATGTATGTATTAAGTATGCAAATAAAGTAAAATTGCAATTCTATTATTTCCTACTCTAATTTCTCGCCTGAGCTCGTATTTTATAGCTACTCTTTGCAGTGATTTGAGCTGCAGACCATTTGATGCTGCAAACGCTTTGAAGCATTCTTCTTTTCTTTCTTTATTGGAAGACAGGAGAAAAAGAATGTTTCGAAGCAATGTTAGTGTTAAGTGGCCCGCAGCTTTAGATTTGTTCCAACTCTTGGAACAAGAAAAAGATAAAAAGGTACATTAATCCGAGATTAAAGTTAATTCTCATAGCGGTAGAGAAATGGACACGTGAGAAAGGTATATATACAAAAAAAGTCAAACTGCACAGAACAAACCCTGAGACTCGATTCTTGAATTCTCTTACAGAAGCATGGCTTTTAGCCAGTCAACTTGCAAATTTTTTGTAAGAACGAAATTTGCGCATTACGTTTTATTCTTGCAAATGAATTCAAGAATCGGGTCAATCGGGGGGCCCCTGCCGGATGATCGAACGTCTTCCAGCCACGCTGTTGGACGGAGGTGACGCACGCGCGGAAGGCGCGGGAGATCCCGCTTTCTGGGGGAACACAACACACGAACACACCACAAAATTCGATCTCGTGGGCCACACACATTTGCCGCGGAGAACCCGAGAACCGACCGTGTGCGACGTCAACAGAGAGACGCGAGTTCGAAACGGCCGGGAAGAGCTGCGATCCCCGATCGTGTCACGTTGCGAGTCACGTGCGAGCGTCGTCGCTGCGGTTCGCACGGATCATTTTTGCAAACTACGAACGGTAAGTGTCGCTCGATTCACGTGCGAATCCGTCGGCCGTTTCGCATGATATGCGCCGCAACTCCGCCGACACCGCTGCTCCGTTTGTTGGATTAAATCGCGGGACACCGAGGCAAATATACGCCTCGACGCCGCTGTTTGCGATTAGTCAGACCTTACAAACGCGATTATCTCGGCGGATGTGCAAACGTTAACGCGTCTCTGTCTCCCCGACAAACATTTAATCTTCGTTGCAGCTCGCTAAGAAAAACGTACGTCGAGCGACGGCGCACATCGTCGCTCATTAACACTATTAACACGGACGCCCGGAGGAGGGACGCTTCGTAAACGTCGTTGGAAAGGAAGAAACACTCGCCGAGGACACTCGCGCGAGAGAGAAGGACCTGTAAGATTGAGAGAGCAAAACTGCTCGCGCTTAGCTCGCACACGTCGCTCTCTAGTAGTATTATTTCTCTCGCACTTGTTTATGTATGACTTTAACTTTTACTACGTTTACGCGAGCGTTAGTTCTGTAGTAACTTACGATAATTCACTCGTTTACGCGGAGTAAATTATTGTAAGTTACTACAAAATCCCGTTTACGCGAAGGAATGATCATAAGTTACTACAGAAGTAACGCTCGCGTAAACGTAGTATTTAACCGATTGACGTATAATTAATTAATGCGATTAATGTGAGGTAATATGGTAGTTTCAGTACGTGGGACGTGGGTGTCTGACATAAGAACGGTGAAACAGGTGTTTGTTTTATCAATGAAACCGGATCTGACATGTCTTACACTGAGCTGGAACATGGTTACCAAGTAAGTTCTCTTTACATAAACCGTCCGAAGACGAGATTACACCGCGCTCCGCGCGTTGACCCAGTGCCTAACGAGAGGTTTATGTCCACAGGGTCTCAAGAATGCGAGCAGACCGATGTTCTACATAGGAGACATAAATACGGTCCAGCCGTCTGTTATTTCATCGATCTATCGTTCGTCGAAAAGAGTAAGTTTTGGGATTGTTGTTTCACCGCTGCTGAAATACACGTGGTTGCGAGCGTCCACGATATTGCACGAGGCACAGTTGGAAATCTATCCTTCAGTTTCCTAACCAGAGCACATACTATGCACATATGAAATTTTTATAGATATAAAAGCACACTTTTCCTTCTTTTTTTTTAGTTCTATTCTTGTTAGATACGATATGCGAATAATTTTCTCGATCGCGCATCCGGTTGTTGATTGTATGAAACCGCGATTCACATCTGATGAGGTATCACAGAAATAGAAAAGCAACACGAACACAGAGCCACGTGGTATTTGTGACGATCGATTGTTATCCGAGAAACGGATTGATTTGAGATTAATGAAACGGCAATGTTATTCCACTTCCATCTTTTTATCTCGTGTTTATGTCACGAAAGTGACAAGCGTGCACGTGTAGGACAGCTGTTTAGAGAAATATAGCGTACGTTCGGACGGAGGTTAGAAATCTATATTAGGAATACGTTTACGATATATGTAGATATTTTCTCCGGTATTTAAAAATACGCACGATCCACGTCTCCTTATTTGCAATGCACCTGCCCCTTGCAACGATGGAAATGTACGAACAGTTATGTAAACACAGTTGATACATTATGCATCAAACGGTCGCTAAGTTGAAACTCTTGTTGGTCGGTTGATTGCTAGTACCTAGATAGTCGAGAGACATACCTACCCTTATTACGTAATCAGCTTTTAAAGAGCCAAATCAATCGACACGAGCATTTGCGATGCACATTAGTAAATGTTTCTGCGTAGTGGAGTGTAGGAATGCAAGTCGGTGAAAGAGTAGGATAAATTCTGTGTGTTTTTTTTCCTCATGATGTTTGGCCAGACAGGAATTTATCTCATTATGAGGCACGTTATCCAAGCACGAATGGTACGCACATGATACAGCAGTTAAATTTTCTATCGATGCATGTGCAACGCAAACATTTAATCGTTCCGTTTGCCCCGCGTGGAAATACATTTGTTAACATTCATCGTCAGCCAATTATAACAGTGCTAATATTGACTGAATTATAAATTGCTTCTAATCGTGCCTGATAACATTATTACAACAGGTAACTGCCTGCGAGTTCATTCAGAAGGTATTCGCCGCTCGTTAACAGTGTATGAATTCAAGCTAACAATTACGCATTGTTAGAATCTAAGTCACTCTACAATTTAACGCTATGTTCTTTTGGTGGTGCATGAATATGCTGTCGAAAACATATCTGAGTTACAATGTGATAATATTCAAGTGACAGTGATTTGAAAATAGAACTGATAATTCTTCCTTTATCTTTCTATCGTGATATGTTAACTGCAATCACACTTCGAGCGATTGATATTGGAAACATATCAATTAAATCATTGCTTATCAGAACAGGAGACATCAGAATTTGTGGAATTTTTAATTCTTGAAGATACATGACAATGATTTTTATTCCCAAGGTAAAAGTGCGTGTGTACATGTATGTGATTAATGAAATATATATTGTGATACTCTAACAAGAAGGTGGTTTTAAAATTAACCCCGTCAGCAGTTCATCATTATATATTCATATCAAGACAACTGCGTGTGCATATATTTTATACATATATTTCATGATCATAGGAATAACAATCATAATTAAAAAGAAACAATAGATATTCACGAAATCGTACGTAATGATAAAGATTTATATTTTCAATTGAACTGTAGCGGGTACCGTAGTTTTCTGTGATAACTTATCGGATATTTTTAATCAGATAAAAATCTGCTATCACAAGTACTTTTTCTATTCGTTTATTTGTGTTGTTATAAATAATAGGAAATGAGGGGATAGATTCCAAGATTCCACTACGTTTCTTCAGCTTGCTATAATACTTTTTCTTCTTTTTTTTTTTTTGTTATATTAATCTCAGATCTTTTCTAAATCTTTCATTGCAGTGATTAACAACTAGCTCGTGCTTCGGTTTGCTTGTCGCTGCATGACCGGTATTGCATTTCTCATTGAGTCTGGATTGTAGTGAAGTAGTAAATGGTAAAAACGGAATAAACAGAAATAAGTGAAAATATAAACGTGTAGATGAATGAAAACTTCACACTGAATCACGAATTTCAAAAGATAGCGTGATTTTTCATCTTCCAATTTACATATTTTCACGCTTCGTTGCTTGATACGTATTACCTTTCTATGTAGGCAATAACATATGCGATCAACGTATAACTTACTTATCAAAAGATCAAACTAAAGAGTGTAATGAGTAATCTTACGAGAGTTCGCGATGAAAATTGTCCTGCTGACGACAAGCCTAGATTTCTATCCTGCCTAAAGGCATACTGGGTGAGCACTATTTAGCTTGAAGATTTTACGATCTTCCTCACTGCTTGTTATATAGCGGAGTTTAGAAGTCACGTTCATTTTTAGAAACTGTAAAAGTCAGGCTGTGACGTTCTTTCACTTGATCTATCGCTCATTTTTCCAAAGAAAAAAAATGTGTGTGGTAGTGAATTTAATTTTATATTATATGTATAGAAGTTTTTTTTTATTGAAATGTTTATTATTTTCTACTTATTAGTATTGCATATATTATCAAGATGTGACTTGCCTACACGGTGTATGCTCTTGAATAGCTATCACTGATCGTTTATTTTACTTTCTAGCCCGAATTATCAGAAGGCAACCAAGATGACGCTTATATGGGCGGGAGTGATGTGGAAGGAGAGGGAAAGCAAGTCCTGGTTGGGATATGCGCAATGGCGAAGAAGTCGCAAAGTAAACCGATGAAAGAGATTTTGACAAGGCTCGAGGAATTCGAGTATATAAAAATTATCGTCTTTCCAGAAGAAGTGATATTAAAGGTGATATATATTTGTGTTATGGAGCTATACTATACTTCTATGTTACAAAATTTATATCTTTTGCCTTTGCTCTTTACAGGAACCTGTAGAAAATTGGCCTGTGGTCGACTGCTTGATAAGTTTCCATAGTAAAGGATTTCCCCTTGATAAAGCTATAAATTATGCGAGTTTACGTAAACCGTTTATTATTAATCACCTCCCAATGCAGTACGACATTCAGGTAGACTTTTAAAAAATATTACAAAATATTAATATATTTTTCTATATGTACCCTCTACGTACTAATATAAATTGCCGTAGGACCGAAGAAGAGTTTATGCTATACTAGAGAGCGAAGGTATCGAAATTCCACGGTATGCCGTTCTCGACAGAGATTCACCAGATCCGAAACGTGAGTTGCAAAATTTATTTGCACTGTTCGTAAGTGCGTCGTAAATATCTCCCGCGATCCAGTTAAGAAATCAAATAGCTATGTACTCGATTGAGTTTAGGACACTCATATGTTACTTGTGTTGTTTATCATATGTTACTTGTGTGTTAATCTTTACATATAGAGAATATAGACTGCATTTTAGAACACGAATTGGTGGAGTCGGAGGATCACGTGGAAGTAAACGGCATTACTTTCAACAAACCATTCGTGGAAAAACCAGTATCTGCCGAAGATCATAATATCTATATTTACTATCCTACTTCGGCTGGAGGAGGAAGTCAGAGATTATTTAGAAAGGTATATATATTATTTTTCTTGAAAGTAATATATGATCCTTCATATAAGATTTAGGAAGCAAGCGTCGTTTTCTTAAATTGAAAAAATTTAAAAACGAATACTTAACGAATACCTGTTCCTGTTCATTACACAGATAGGTAGTCGTAGTAGCGTATATTCTCCAGAATCTCGCGTTCGCAAGAGTGGTTCTTATATCTATGAAGATTTTATGCCTACCGATGGCACTGACGTTAAAGTCTATACCGTGGGACCTGATTACGCTCACGCCGAGGCGAGGAAGAGTCCCGCCCTCGACGGCAAAGTCGAGAGAGATTCGGAGGGCAAGGAAATTCGTTATCCAGTGATATTGAACAATGCCGAAAAACTCATTAGTAGAAAAGTGTGTTTGGCCTTTAAGCAAACGGTGTGCGGCTTCGATTTATTAAGGTATGTGATTGTATATTCGCATGCAATGCAACTAGCACGACTGTAAGAAATTAAATCTACTTTTTTCAATAAAAAACTTTTTTTTATGAACAATGAACATCGTTTATCATACGTTTATCATCGTTCATCATCGTTGTCCGTTGAAAAGATGCGTTTCTTTTATGTAACATTTATTTTGAACGTATCTGTATAACATTACTAAGACATACTAGTACATTACATGTCGACGCAATACAACTGTCGATGTGGTTATCAGTGTTACTTTAGAGCGCATATCGCGTTACACGTTCAATAGCCTTGAGTTCCGTTACAACATCCATGAACTGACTTCAGTCGGAAAACAGATATTGACACGGCCGTGAATGTATTTGCGGCTTACATAAGTAGCTGAAAGTCAAGTGCAATTAATACAGCGAGCGTGGTTCTGGTTACAGAGCAAACGGCCAATCGTTCGTGTGCGACGTGAATGGATTTAGTTTTGTAAAGAACTCGAACAAGTATTATGATGATTGTGCCAAGATTTTGGGGAATATGATACTCAGGGAACTGGCTCCCACCTTGCATATTCCGTGGAGCGTTCCCTTTCAACTGGACGATCCTCCTATTGTGCCAACTACATTCGGCAAAATGTGAGTCTAATCACAAGTGGCAATTAACCTATGAGCAATTAACTTATGAGCGTTCTTAATATGAAGCATGTTTTTTAATTGTTATTAACTACTTCGATACTTATCCAGGATGGAGTTGCGCTGTGTCGTAGCAGTTATTAGACATGGCGATAGAACCCCAAAACAGAAGATGAAAGTAGAAGTACGTCATCCGAAGTGAGTAAACAAAATCTTATACATTTTCTCTCATCTAAGAACACTGCGAATTAATATATATATATATAATATCTCGCAGATTTTTTGAGATATTTGCAAAGTACGATGGCTATAAGCACGGTCACGTAAAACTAAAGCGCCCTAAACAGTTGCAAGAGATTCTCGATACAGCACGTAGTCTACTAACAGAGATACAGCATCGTGCGGCGGGACCCGAGTTGGAAGAAAAACAAGGGAAACTGGAACAACTCAAGAGTGTCTTAGAAATGTATGTAGCGATAAGCAAAATAGTATACTACTTTAATGAATTAAATTAATCACGATATAACGTTATTGTATAGTTGAGCAAATTTGTAAAAAGATTATTAACTCTATATTGTAGGTATGGGCATTTCTCTGGCATAAATCGTAAAGTCCAATTGAAGTATCAACCGCGAGGACGGCCGCGGGGAAGTTCTTCCGACGACGGTAGCGATCTTAGTATGCTTCATTTACTTTTTCACTATTTTATACAATATACATATCGATCATATATTTTTAGGGATATATTATACTTAGTGGATATGTATACATATATAATATATTTAACAAACAAAAAAGATATATTTTAGAAAATTGTGTATCTGAAGAAATACACGTATCTCTTCACTCTTTCTTTTTCAGATCGATTAGGAGAACCGTCTCTAGTCTTGATATTGAAATGGGGCGGAGAACTGACGCCGGCTGGACGTATTCAGGCGGAAGAATTAGGACGCATATTCCGCTGCATGTACCCCGGTGGTCAAGGTAGACACCTTAGTGGTTCGTATCTTATGTTCATATGCTTGCCATGCTCGCTTTTAAGTTTCTACACAGTATCGGAGATCGTTTTTGTAATTTCCCTCTATTAGCTAAACTTGGTCTGGGTTTACCCCAGTGATATATACGAACTACGTAATCTGAAAGCCTCTGGGCTTTCGATTTACGAATTGTATTTTGAGAACGCTATATTGTACAAGTTGCAAAACTATTGGACGGCTTAAAAATTGGCGCACTAAGATTGGATTGTATTCTTCCATGATTTATATCGTTGTATCTTGTACCATGAGAGACATAAAAAGCTACTTTAGAGTAATATCGAATTTGTACGAGAGTAATTGCCAGTGTAGCAAACACTGTGGCACTAACAACCATATTGGCAATCATATTGTAACTGGTAGTTAATAGTGAGATGTAGTAATGTTCACTCAAAGAGAGTCACAGATAGCATAATTTATCTCAAATGTTATTTCAGAGGAAGAATCAGAGATGTTACCAAACCACGGTAACCTTTTATTTACGATCAACGCTTATTACATAGTTCTCTGTAGATTGTTGTCCTTAGAAATTAGCGATGTTATACGGTCGTCGGCGCTAACAGTAAGAGTACACTTGCACATTTTGTATCTCTTTATTTGAACGATTTTCCGAGTTGCCACTCGACTCAGCGGAGACGAGTTGTTGTCGGCAATTTGGGAGGAGCATGGTTTTAGCGTACACCACACTCACCATTTGCCACACGCTTTTTCTATGCTAATGTACGTTTTAGTTAATTTTGTTCTTAATGGCACTACAACATGTTAAGTGTAAATTTCTTTTATATACAAGCTGTTATGCACGTACACTTAGTACAATATGTTTTCTTCGAAATGTAATTTTTCATTAAAATACCAGCAGAGGAGTTTCAAGGTAACTCTAAAGCATTTAGAGACATGAAAAACTTTTTGCAGTATCTTCCGCGCGTTGTGACACGATATACAACGTTAATTAACGTCATTAATCCCGATTAATGCAATTTTTATGACACGCAATCTTTATCGCGATGATCTCGATACTAGAGCATAGGTCATCTCGACAACTGTTTTTCTTTTGGAGTAATCTCTAAATTGTTCCGTTGTCGTTGTGTTCTATGATTATGATAGCTGTGTCTCGAGGAATCCCGTCGTTGTGTTGATATTATTCCCCCTTGTGTAAACGTAGGTGAATACGCAGGTGCGCAAGGATTGGGTTTGTTACGCCTGCACTCCACGTTCCGGCACGACTTGAAAATCTACGCTAGCGACGAGGGACGTGTTCAAATGACCGCGGCGGCTTTTGCGAAAGGGCTGCTCGCGTTGGAGGGAGAGCTGACACCTATCTTGGTGCAGATGGTGAAGAGCGCGAATACCAATGGCCTTCTGGACAACGACTGCGATAGTAGCAAATATCAGAATATGTGAGTAGAGGATCTTCATCGAACCTCTGAATTGTAACTTTTGCCTCACGGTAAGCGATATTATATTTGTAATTACAGGGTGAAAACGCGCTTGCACGAACTGCTGCAGCAGGACAGAGAATTTACTCGCGAGGATCGAGAACAGATCAATCCGGGAAATGCGCTGAGCATCAACGCCGCTTTAGATTTCGTCAAGAATCCGGTTCGATGCTGCCAGCACGTTCACTCTCTCATCCAAAAGCTTCTGGACATCGTGCGTATCAAGAAGGAAGATGCGAAGACGAAGGACACGATACTCTATCATGGCGAAACGTGGGAACTGATGGGACGTCGCTGGGGAAAGATAGAAAAAGACTTCTGCACGAAGAACAAACGTTTTGACATATCTAAAATACCTGACATTTATGATTGCATAAAGTACGACCTGCAGCACAACAATCATACGTTGCAATTCGAACACGCGGAAGAATTGTACACGTACGCTAAATCTTTAGCGGATATAGTAATTCCTCAGGTATCATTTCTTTTCGCCGCTAATTCTATCAACATTTTACTTTTTTATAAGTGAATTACGTTATATATTAATGCGTAGGAATATGGCTTGACGGTACAAGAGAAGCTGACTATCGGTCAGGGTATATGCACGCCTTTGCTGAAAAAAATACGGGCTGATCTGCAACGAAATATCGAAGAATCTGAGGAAACTGTCAATAGGCTTAACCCTAGGTACAACATTTAAGTTCTACTAGTAAAGAGTTTTCTTCTCTAATTGAGATCTTTTTAGTAATTATACGATAATCGTTAATGATCCATAGATATTCCCATGGTGTTTCGAGCCCGGGGCGCCATGTACGTACGAGGCTGTACTTCACAAGCGAGAGTCATGTACATTCCTTGCTAACCGTGCTGCGTTACGGTGGTTTACTCGATGTAAGCAAAATATACGTTATACACGTTATAGCTGGAAGAAATGATCTCCTACGGTGTCTTCTAATTTCTTATGTATGCGATCCGCAGGTGGTGAAAGACGAGCAATGGCGACGCGCGATGGAATATGTCAGTATGGTCTCCGAGTTAAACTACATGTCGCAAATTGTTGTTATGTTGTACGAAGATCCAACCAAGGATCCAAGCAGCGAGGAGCGTTTTCATGTTGAGTTACACTTTAGTCCTGGCGTTAACTGCTGCGTGCAGAAGAATCTGCCGCCCGGTCCTGGATTCAGGCCACACTCGCGCAATGAGAGCAGCCACAATGTGGTAAGACTTACAATTATCCGCTATGATACGCTAACGATCATACAAATTAAATGAACTTTGCCGGTCTTTCTTTTTAAGGGGGAGTGCGGTTCCGGTCAGGATACTAGTTCACAATGTAGCACCCGGATAGAGGAGGAAGATGCGGAATTGGGTATCATCGAGGACGATGTAATAAGTCCTACGGCGCAGGCTGTGAGTAGAGTTTTGCTTATTAATTGCAGTTAAATTTTTAGCAAATATTTTTTAACAAATATATAGCTATGTAAAGGCTCTATAATTTAAAAAAAATTAAAACTTGATACGGGCAATAAGAGCCAAACGTGACGTTTAACCGCTAAAATTTACGAAACGTTCGTAATTTTCGTGATTGACATGTATCTTATAATAAATTTTAGCGGTTAAGCGTCACGCTTGGCTCTTATTGCCCGTATCAAGTTTTAATTTTTTTCAAATATATACTTTCTTTTGTTCTCAAAATTTTCTCTTAAATAGTAACACAATGCGATAGGCAAAAATTTGCTTTCAGGATACGCCTCCGCCATTAATGGAAACGGATACTGTGGACTCTATGCTAGACAGTCCGACGACCAGTCGTGGGATCGACATGATGGATCTAGATCCGAATATGATGGACGAACCGTACGATAGTGGATTCTTACAAGGCTCGGCACCGATTCCAATTAGGTCTGCTGTTCGCTTGTCAATCTGATTTGCATTGAGTATTTTTCTATGCAAATATTTATCATCTTGATAAAATAATACGTTAAGAATGGAAGTTTTATTTTGTGTTGCAATATATGTGCAGCGCCAGAACTGTGGCCGGACATGAGGCTGCTAGGCTTGGCAGCCAATTGGCGGCGAGTCAACGACAACGGCGAAGCAGAGAGGCAGGGAGCATCGTCGAACCGCGCGCGCGAAGCTACGATCATCAGCGGCAGGAGAAGCCCGAGAAAGGTAAGTGTGCTTTGATGTGCAAGTTATCTGTATCGGTGAGCAGATTTATGCTGAAGTAAGTGTGAAGGATGTCGCCGATAAACGAGCGATATTTGAATGATGATGTAACATTAACAAACCAATCTGTTCTTGTTGTATATGCGTGCATACACACGGGTATACGGAATGTGTATGACGATATGTAAGATGTGTACGGTATCCTTAACACGTTAATGGTTTGTGCATGATTATAATTATTGATTATTATTGGTCTTCTTTACACACTGATACACCACTTTAATGGTATTAACAGTTATCGACATTTATAGTATATATGAATGCTATACATATATGAATGCTGTATATCCTTCCTCCCAAATTATATAATAGCTTCACATCACGAAATTTATATTTTATCGCGATAAATCCCATTTCCCTCGCACAAGTAGTGATTAACGAAAGATATATCGATATTTAAACCGTGCTTGGTATTCGATATTTTAACTTAACGAATAGATAGTTCGATATAGATTACCGTGCAATTTTTACAATTTAAAATTAGAAATATTTACGATATTTATAGAAGTATTACTGTATTTCTCTGAAATTCGAGGTAAAATCACACTATTACATTTGCAGATTTGATATTTTGTTATCTAAATAAGAGCAGATATTCGAACACCGTGAATTTATGTCATTTTTACGGAATATCGCAGATGAATGGAATTTTAATTGTGCGCGATAATGATAGTATGGTACTTGTCTTCTTTTCGAAGAATATACCGATTTGTAGAAACGCGCGCAAATATATAATGACGTTTAATATCCATTATGTTAACGTTAAAGGCATCGGGCTATTAGAGCTTTTAGGGGCTAATTACTGGCAATTGAGCTGATGGTGGAATGTCGTCACAATTCACAATGCTCCCTTCTGTGTTCTACTGTTCTCTTTTTGTAGCTGCGGACAAGCTGCAGTATCAGAGCTTGGACGCGGTCAACAAAGAAGGTATGTTTGTACCGTCTACCAATTTTTACAGAATAATTCTTCAAGATAATGCACACGTAAACTTTCGGACGATACTTTACGTATATCCTTCTTATTTTTGCCCGTAATCGAGTAGATCCGTTCTACCCACGTATATTTTCTTCTCTTTATTTGGATACGAAATGTATCTTTTTTTTTATACCCGTAGAGCAACTCTTATGCACATGTTGCAATGAAATAATTCCGTCGATCGATATTAGCGTGCACAGTTACGCTGCGATGAAATCTCGTATCAACCGTAGCGCAACTCTGGATCTCAGAGTAAACCAGACAATTCCGCGGATCTTTAATTTTTGTTGCAATTAAAATGTGCATAGTTGTTGAACCGATATATATATATATATCAGTACCCGGAATGCGCTTATGCACATCGTCATACTACGAAGTGCTGATTAAAGTGACTGCGGACTCTCACACCCTACACCTTATACCTCGTAACTATAGTCTCTAGTCTATAGTCTCATCCCTTCCTCAGTTAATGTATATTTTGCTCGAGTTAATTTTTCACGATATGTTGCGACTTGTAATCTGTATTTGTTGATTTTCGTTACTTTTACTTTAATCAGTTATACAAATCGCACGTACTGTATAGAGAAAAGATTGGTTACGTTTTTTCTTTTTTTGTTTTGTTTTTAATGGCTGGATCTCCAGAACCACACCAGACGAAGTGCGAAACACGGTCTGGGTTGATCTATCCGGAAAAAACGTCTAATGTGTCTTGTTTCATGTAATACAGCCGAGAGATGTGTATTTTGCCAATGCCAGGGTAGGAAGCGGTGATTCCAGTTGAAATAACTCTTTGCTCAGCGATAGTTGTGCGCGTGGAAGCCAACTAATCAAGTATCGGCGACTGTCTGGGCCACACACGCATACACGGTGGTGTGGTCCATTCAGCTGCCCACCCGAATCCTCGATCCCGAGATCATCATTCCCAAAATGGAACTCGCAAGCGTCTTCATTGTCATCGAGCCTTCTTTCGGGGAGTTTCACGTGCATTACGCCATACGTTCATCGCATACGTTCATTACGTTCAGGGTGTCATCGAATTTCATATCATCGAGTCTTTCAGACGACAATAATAATCGCTCATCGATTATTCACGATCTCTTTTTTTTGTATTCGCATATCATTTCATTTTGTCGGTTCATCGTCATCGTCATTTCCATCTTTCATCGTCGCCACTTTCATCGATCGCGCCGACCTTCTCGTCTTCGAATAGATAGCTCGCGAAGCATGTAACATCTTCACCTCGCTCCTCTTCTCCATTCTTCATGCATAATTCATAACAATAGTCGAAAGGAAAAAGGGACTCGGACCAAGAGAAGCATCGTATCTACCCGCTATATCATTACAGTCGTGTACTAATGCCGTTCGAGCTTCGGCACCCTAACAAATGTTAATGTACGAGGCTGTCTATATATGTAAAAAAAATCGTGTGGTTTGGTTGGCTTACTGGTTGCATGGCTATCGTGTGCCACGGTTGTTGTGTGGTGTGCGTACTCGTGATTCCGACATACTCGCTAAGTTGCGCGCAAAGGGTCGAAGGTATCTACTCTATCCTTAATTTACTTTATTTCTTCCTCGACGAATCTTTAAACACCGAAGCCAGTAAAATGCAATATTCCTTTAAAGTATATTAATCATTTAATAATGATACGAAATTAAGTTGTTTTCTATATATGTTCAATATTTATGTACATACTTGATATAATACATTATAGTAATATTTATTTATATTGTACTCTATAAGTATTGTAGAAATAATTATAATAGACTTTAAGAGGTCTTTACGCTAACGATTTTTATCGCGGGTGTTACGCAGATCCGTTTTATTTTTCGTACATAATTTTTTAATTGCTCTCAATTTCAGTAATACGAGAAAAGCGTGAAAGCAAAGTATATCGCGAAGTCATTTTTTACATCGATGATCAGCGGATAAAACGTTTGATTTTTTTTTATCGCGAGGCGAGAACAACGGTCCAAAGATTCGTCCCTTCCGTTTCTTTAGCAAAATGGGTTTTTTAATCGGCTCTTTCTCTCTTTTGTTTTCTTTTCTCTCTCTTCCTCCCCTCACTACACCGTCATACCGAATGCTGCACCGTACCCTGCTGTCACCCTTCTGATAACGCTATCACACCTGGATCTATGTGCCTGCGCATTTCGCACCCTCCCTACGCATCGCACCGTACCGCACCGCACCGCAACGTAACTCGCTATCAGCCGCGGGACCAACTCCGGAGGAGCCTCGCGGCGAGGAACGCACGTGGAAACCGGTGACACTGCTGCAGTCGCACAGCTCGCCGGAGCTGCCGGTTTCGCCGGACGAGAGCTTCGCTTCCTCGTGCTCGCTTCGCAATGCGCGCAACGATAGACAGCTATCCGCCAATCCTTGCTCGTTGCCCGACCCGTCGTTCGCGACCGTCAGCGGCCTGCCGGAGCGGACTATCACCAGGCACCGTGGCCGCGGCAGAAAGTACGAACGCTCGCGCTCCGAAGTGACCTTGCTTCCATCCGTCGAACTCTACGGTGAGTTCAGGGGGTAACGACAGAGATGCAACGCGGACCGATGGAGAGGTCGTCGCACATGTCGGGGTGGCACGCGGAGGAATCTGGTCCAGTCCTGGTATCAATGTCGATGAAAATTCTGTTGATAATGAAACAGTAAGGGAATAAGTAAATGTTACCATCTGGTTTACTATCTGATGGCGACCGAGACTATCTTCGTTCTTAAATCGGTAAGTAACGTTTCAGATGTAACGTTTCGTCCTCTCTTTTTTTGTTGGTGATTTCTCTTGCGAACTCTTATTGGCATTGACACACGAGTCGGACGTGACCAGATTGCCTCTTTTCCATATGCTACTCCGGAGTTCCTGCGACCTCAATGCCGGATGCTGGAAATCTCGATTCACGAGATCAGTACGAAATTGATCTCACGTGAATCGCCGCATTATTCTCACCGTATTCCGAATCTGTCGAAATTGTTAAATGTCCCATTTTTCGGGCAAAGAAATTACATAATTAACACGGTGAGCCGAAGGAGACCAGAATTGTAAAAAAAAAAGGGAGATAATCAAGGGACCATTTATCCTAATTAGTGCAACAAATTAGTTCGGTACTCGCAAAGTTTAATTCTTTAGCAAACGTGTTACTGATTTCTTCAATTAGCTTGATATTCTTTTTTTCGAAGGAAGACCAACGCTAATTTCTGTTTCCTAATATGGATTATTCCCACTAATCGAGGTTCATTGAGAGACTCGACTGATCTTCTGCCTCTTAAAATCTGTTTTCAGAAAGAGGCAGGGAATCAGTTGAGGATTAAGCGTAGTAACTAACATTCGTGGGAATAGTCCTATGCTCACCGATTCGCTTTGCTCGTTATCTCTCTCTGTCGTCTCTTTCTCTCTGATTATTAAATGTCCCTCTTCTTCACCTTGAAACGCGAGCACAAATGCAAGCACGGGCACGAGCACGAGCACGAGTCTGTGATAGATTCTAGAGCTTCACAGCCGATCTCTGCCGGCTTTTAATAAGGGGACATGCTATTTATTATATAACAAAATGTTTACGACATTCACCGTTATCACTACCACATCGATACCGATCCACGAGACTAATCATCATCACTGTCCGGAGTGTCTATGTCAGCGTCTGAGTTCCCTCCCCCCGTCCGTCCAGACACCCCGTGTCCAGGCCTCATTCCTCTTCTCCACCCCTAGACTCGCGATCGCGGATCATTCAACCTGATCCTACCTGCACAGCAAGGCGCCACCGTCACAGTATCTCCGGACAGATGAGTTATTTCAAGCTGTTGGGCTACAACGTCAGCAAGAAGCTAACTGGCTCGGCTAACAGTCTCTTCAGCACGGCGGTGATAAGCGGCTCTTCGAGCGCACCGAACCTAAAGGACATGGTCCCACCTCACGCGTCTGCGGTCGCTGGTATTTTATATATCTAATTATTTAATAAGTAACAAGTAAAAGGGGGCTCTAAGAGTCAACGCGGTTGATGCGCAAGTTAATTTTATATCGATCTTTAATAACTGCTGGGATATATAATTATAAATCGGTTCTACTAATGATCGTAGTTTATTATAGTTTATTATAGTTTATTATAGGATTAGCTTGTTTTACTTGGATTTTCCCACGGAAAATCACGCTATTTTTAGACCACTCAATCTTGAAGTTACTCATTTCTTGTCAAAGAATATGAGATCATTTTGATTTAATTGTTACCGCATCGCTAAAGATTGCTTAAGTAGAGCCGAAACGTCCGATTTATATTATATGGTTATTGGATCGATATAACATATCGATTAACTTACGTACCATCATCCACGCCGAAGGCCCCTTTTTATTTGGCAGTTATTAATTTCATTATCGAGAGTTCTTTATTATCCAATTATTTATCTAATTATTAGAATACAATTATTTAATTATACGTATTATATATAATAAAATAATCTAGGTGAATAAGTTAAAATAATGAAGAATATTTCTAATTAGTACATTTATTCTATAGCGATAGAAGGTTTCGGCGGAGTACCTCCCATCAGACCCTTGGAAACTCTGCACAATGCGTTATCGCTACGTCAACTGGATTCCTTCCTGGATATGATGACCAGGGCGCCGTTGTACAGGACTCCGGCCTCGTCGCCGCCTAAGTCGTCGCCGGCCGGATCGACGCACGAGTCGCTCAATCCACCCCTTGTCCACGCCGGGATCAGTCGCGAGTACCACTCTTCTGACACAGAAGCTGTCAGGTACCATAAAAAATGACATAAGGCATGCTCGTGAGTATTAAGTTCTTCTCCTGTGCGCCAAGTAAGATCGCTTTCAAACTTATTCCGAGTGTGCTGTATCCTGTTACATCTTTTTCCGCTGACCGTATTAAATAATTTATTTAATTTTGTAATTCTCCATTGCTAAAAACTTGAGTACGCGAGCTGTGATTGTTTGACTTCTGGTGCATTATCGCGTTACCACCCCGCACAGGTACATTATCCCAACACCGATACTGTATAAGCCCCTTGGCGAAGCAGAAACGTGTGACACCAGGAATCTACCGTCACCTACCAGTCCGAACAGTGCGTATCTACCCTATCTGGCTGTGATAGCAATATCACATTTATTTAAAAAATCTTTTATGTATCACTTAGGCACAGGATGGAGTAGCGAGCCACAGTCTTTTCTGTCCGAGCCATCGTCACCTGCGCCAACATCGACAGGCGAATGCAGCATGTCTATAAGCTTAATTAGCAACGAGAGGTGAGTCTCAAATGTCTTAAAGTGCATAAATTTAATTTATTTCTTTTTTTATACTTCCTTTCCTTTCATGTTGAATTAATATGAATGGTGGTGATAATTAATATGATATAAACTGGTTTGGTTATTTACACTCTCTATAGTTCTAAATTTACTAAATATATCATTTTGTTGGTTTACTTATATTTTACGTATTTCTCTCTAATACTCTCTATATCTAATTACGGTGTACGTTGAATGTTAGTAGTGTGGTAGAAATAACACCTGTCCATTCACAGTGCTCAACTTTTTATCGCGCCGAAATTCTCCCCGACTTGCCTGGACGTCGACTTTAACGAATTTTGTATTCGTCTTGATCAAGAGAATCGAGAAAGTCGCGGCAGCGTCTCATATACGGATTATTACAGCAACGAGGACGGTCAGATACGCAAAATAACGCAAATACCGCAAGTGATACAGTCAGGTGCTAGCGGTGTGCAAACAAAGCTCGTGTGTGGCGATGATCTTCCCTGTGACAACATCGACGAGGACGAGGACCACACGTTGACTTTAAAACAGAGCGAGGAGCAAAAGAAACAGGATGTTAAATCAATATTCGAGCCGAGGGACGACGTTAATTCAGCGAAACTAAGCGGCAGCTACAAGAAGATCGGGCGGTAGGCAGAAAAAATCCGGTTTTACACAATATACAATATATAAAGTGACGTTTACCGATATTTATCAGCGGCGTCGTTTGCTTATTTTAGTTTCCTCGTGGAAAGCACGGATATATCGCACGGCGACGTCCGAATTAAGGACACCGACAACGCCGGTACTTCCGACAAAACTCCGACGAAACTCTCTACCTCTCAGAAATCCGACTCCTCGAGCGCGGGTAAATCCATCGCGGAAAGGGTAAAGAAGGATTCTAAAAAGGGCGGCGGCTTGCACATCGGTTCTCAAAAGCGAAAGAACTTTTCTCGTTCGCAGAGCGTCACGACGCCGAAACTGGTCGCGCCGAAAACCGAACAACAGACTTTCAGTTATTCGAGACAGAGCTCGTTCTCGACCATGTCGGATGCGGATCTGGAAAGTTGGAAACTGAGCGCGGATCCGACGCATTCCTCGGGAACGAGCCAGCAGGAAGAGCCTATACTCACTGTAGCCGGCAGTCTCACGGATAGCTGTAACGTCACCGTGGGCTTCAACATTAAAGAGAAGGAAAAGAAATAGATATTCGATCGTAAATTTTAATTTACTCTGATAGTTTTTTTCGACACCCACGTGATATTAGATCTATTCTTACGACGTAGAATTTTACGAAGAATTTTAGGAAGGGTAGTTTCCTAGCACGAAAAGTATTAGGACACAGCAAGTATTAAGCAGGACTGGAGAGTCATTTTAATGTTTCATAGCATTGTCCATTAAGGCTGATAAAAGTATACAACCAGGACCAGTCGTTTAGAGAGAATTATAATAGCGGAACTTTTAAACCCCCTCTCCTTCCAATCCTTATAGCATTATATAAATGAGATATTAAATCAAACAAAGACAATTTATTCTTGTTTTAGCTCGAGAAATATCTCGAGAAAGTGATTAATCTCTCTAAATCACTTTGCGACTTAAAAAAAAAAATATATTTTATCAATACAGGTATATAGAATAATTACGATAGCTTACTTGAAATAATGTAACGTTAGAGTTAGAATTTTACGGGTCTTTTCTATTAAAAGATCAACAAACTACTCGACTGATAATAGCGGGAGAGAAAAATTAATCCTTTTACTTACATATCATCTGTGCGCTTTGATATTAATTTTTAATTTTGATTCAACATGTATTTATATTATTTGGATATACATGCTATGTATTTATATTACTATTTTTTGTGAGAGTCCGTATTAAAAAAAAATTAAGAATCGAGAATTTTTAGTCAACAAGAAGCAGCTTGATGTTACGTTTCCGATCATTTACCATTTTAAGATTCTTAGAAAACGATTTTTCCGCAATAATATTCCCCAGGATCATCGTTGTTGACTGTGAATCGTTATTACGCGCGTAGAAGATTACCTCTTTCCTAAAGAGATTACTACAGATGTACAAACGCGATGTAGATAAAGCCATTATGTGTGCTTCAATTAAGTATAAGGATAACTAATTAGAGGAACAGAAGTGAGAAAGAAAATACATGTGATTACGAATGTTGAGAACACCTAAGAAGAAATGTATATTATTAAATTTTGTTCTTCTCTTTAACTAAATTGCAATAGTTTTTTAAATTAGTATATAGCCAGATATTCTTGAAGTTACCGAATGTACGAGACTGAAGATTATGTACGCTAGCTTAATGCGTGTCAAATGACAACGAAAATATCTCTCAGAGATCTTACTTCGTATGGCATAGTCGAGAATATTGCGTTCTTTACATTTTTTTCCGTATAGTGATATAAGTACTGGAGAAAAAGATTTTATCCGAGCCAAAGAAAACATCCCAGTTAAGGCGATATGACTACGCTTGAAGTTGCACGAAAGAACATCCCCTCTATTGACTTACGGCTTCGTATTGTGAATCAGTAACGGAAAATACGTAATAGTTATTAATTGCAGATTAACCATACTTGTAAAATAGTAAGCAGCGTGCTTATAGATACGAAAAATATGTACGTACATATATATATACATATATATATGTTACAAATGTTTTAATAAAACAATCCGGAACGAAACTCTGTGTGTTGGGGATTTATTTTTCCTAATATTCTTAAGTTAATAATATAATTAAACTGAGCGAGACTGACTTGATTACAAAGAAAGCTTATGCCTTGTCAGATATCTCTCATTTATTTTTTTTAGGGTTGCACGAGACCAAGACAAGACAATATTTATAAAAATATTGTATTGGTATTGAAAGACATAAGACCAAGAATTCGAAACATATTGTCTTGGTATTGTCTTGAAATTTTATTGTGATCTTGTCTTGATCTTGTCTCGAATTTGAAGGAATTTAGAGGCAAGACAAGACAATACCAAGATTAGTCTTGAGTTCTCGTGCAACCCTAATTTTTTTGAAAATAAATTGCAAAGATAACTGGACAACTGTCTCATCGATGATTTTACGGCGATTTTATTTTTGATAATCCTTCCTGTCTATAATTGGCTTCAGATCAAACCGACAGCGCAGAGTCAATTTGCGATTTTGACAGACACGTGCGCGCCTTTTTCGTCCGTTCGAGGGACAGCCAGCATATTGTTCACGAGCGAGAGTGCGGTCTGAGGGGTGCGCTCTACCCCCTGAATCAATTAAATAGATATTAGCCGTGTCACTTGACGCGGCGAGAGCGAGAGACCGACCCTTACAACGAGCGCGTATAAACATCGCGCGTTTCCGCGTGTCAAATCGGATCTCGTGTTTACCCTCCCCCGAGGTGACTTCGACGGGGGGTTGCATAAAGTTATTAGTTATCCCTCGGCGCATCCCCCTTTCGTCTCGCGACATTTCCGCGTCCCGGGAACGCTCTAATTACGTCGCGCGAGTAGCGTATGATTTATCCCCCCCCGCCATATTTTTTTTCGCCCCCGAAACCCCTCTGGTATTTTCGCCTCGCAGTAGCGCGACGCCGACAAATCGTTTTCCGATTGTCGTTTTGAGTGCAGATTTATCGTCTGGATAGCCGAACGCGTTGCGATATTCTTGGAGTTATAATAATGTCTCATTCGAGAGATTTAGGTTTATGTAAAACTATTTTGTTCATGTAGTTAGAAGTAAAAGAATATATACTAAGAGATATTAAGAAATTTATGTATCTCAAATAAATAAATTGAATGTTTATGCATGAGCATTCGTTGTATACTGAAGCATGAATGTTTCTGGATTGGCATAAGTAAACCTCTTTTCTACATTTTGCGAATAATTGCCCTCTTCTTAGTAGAAAGAACCCTGAAACTTCTTTCTAGATTTATAGAGTCTATAACACATCGGTTTGACCGAGTCTTTTTAAAAATCTGAGGAAATTAATCTGTTACATATATAATTTATATTTATATCCTATATAAATAAAAGTTATAATTTATACCCGAATACCCTATTTTAAAATAAAAGTTATAATTTATACATTTATATCTTCAAATTCTGAAATGGTTGACTAAACATTTCATAGCAGAACCGATTTTATAATTATGTCGCGAGGAAATCGTACGAACAAATATGACGAGTTCGAAGCGCGAAGGAAAGTATTATGCGCAAACGTAATATCATTCAAAATATTTGATAAAGGGAATCCGTATGGAACTGTAGGCGTAAGAGTAGAGAACGCCGTGGATGTTTAATACAACCCTCTGCTGTAATATGAACTATATACATAACTGCAAGCTGACGCCCCGGATCGATGTTCCAGGCGTCGGCGCCGGTAAGCTCCAGCTCTTTCCGCCGTCATTTTCTGGAGCGACCGATATGATACGTGATACGATATATAAAATCAAACGCGAAATTAAATTTTATTCGCACATTTCGCAGAAGAGAAACGGGCCAGGTGGAAGTTCACGTCGAGAGAGAAATTAATTTCTGAAAATTCTAATTTCTCGAAGCTGGATTAGAAAAATCCACATTAAAATTAAATGACATTCTTCACTCCATTGCTTCTTATTCCCGCATTTTTATTGTAATTTTCACGAAGAGCGCCTTAAATATTTATTACAAAATTGCTTCGGAACTGAGATTTCGGAAAACCGTTATTTACCATCATTTTCCAGTTCTAGTTATACGACATTGCTTGCTCAAAATTTTGTTATTATTATATTATTGTTATGTATTGTTACTTATTATTTACTCTCTACTCGAAGTTTAATTCATGGAACGTAAATGATTCATTTCTTACTCTTAGAAGTCGTCTCTGTATATCTTATTAGTTTGAACCACTATATTTTTAATAATAAATAATAGGTCACAATATTTAATTACATATAATATAAATATAAGGAAAAATGAAAAGAAATATGATTAAAATTGATATTGTATCTGATCTTTGTTAAGAAACAATCTACGCTAAATCTTTCCCCGAAATTCCGTTCGCACCCTGTACTACCCTACATCACGAAAATAGGGCGATTTCTAGCAAGTTCACGGGAATAAACGGGGATAATCGGAGCGAGTCGCGTAAACGCCGTCCTTCGGATTTCGCACGTGTTCGTCCGATCCGATTTTGATGCGTCGCTAACAATGCACCCGACCCCGTTGCATCGTCGCCCACAACGGGGTCACGCCTATGAGCAAAATTATAGGATTTCGTCACGGATCTTTCCAGACTTTCCTGACGCTTATTACGCGGATTCGTCGCGGAAATCCCTCGAGCAGTTGCGATGAGAGGGTGATCTAACGCGAGAAACCGACGCACGTAGGAAAAAAATAGAAGTCAATTAATATCGCAACGCATAATATAAATTAATATTTAACGATAGATATGGTATACGTTAAAAAACATGTATTTAGGTACAAATTAATGTCAAGTGTTATTAAACGTAATAATGGTTTAATGTTATATAATAGATAGATATATAGATCTCTAAGAATTGATCTATTTTATTTTAACTGCGTTTAATCAGAATAATCCCGTAAAACGTCGCATGCAATACTCGCATGCGCAATAAGAGAAATCTCATTAGAATATAGATATTGAATTATCAGTAAAAGATAGATGAGATCAAAATTCTCATTTTCAACTTTAAATCTTAACAAACGACAAAGTATACACGTACTGGAGCTGTAAACACATACTATTTCAAAAAGCAGCAATTATAAAAATAAAAATAAAATAAAATTATTCGAGATGTAGAATAGAGTATAAAGCATATTTTTTGCGAACAGCTCCATGAACACAAAACTTTGTTACTCTTTATTTGTTGTTTTATATAGTCTTAAATCCATTCTTTCACACACACACATATATACTTAATCTTTACAAATCTAAATGCAAATTTTTTAACAATTTGTATTTTATCGTTAAATATTTTTTAATCAGTAATAATACATTGCATTATTCAGTTTAATCACGTCTTTCTTTATTTTTTACCTTTACTCGAAGCAGTGTATATTAAATATTGTGATCCATTGAAAATATAGCGGCTCAAATTAATTATTTGTGTACGTAAGTGGAATTTTCAGAGTAAAAATCAAATTCGTTATTTGTGAGTTGGAAGTTTAAAGTACGAAAGCATATTCTGCAGATCATGAATTATTCGAAAATTTTTAGGTGACGAGTTTTAATATTTAGCTCGTTATGTATCAACATTGTCATCATTTTATCAACATTGTCGACGTAAATTGAAATCAATCAATCAAGATTTCATTAAGATAAGGCAACGAACTTTTTAATTTCTTTATATAATTCCTCTATATCTGCAGATTCTCGCGATAGCTCAACATATTTTTCTCCGAAGAAAAGACTAATGAAGGAGACGAAAAATCCGGCCAACACATTGAAAAAACTAATTAGCTTGTTTATTACAAACTATAAATTCAACATAAAACCAATATAAAAATCAATTTAATGCGCGGATGAAGGTGCAATAGAAATTTTCATACGTTTCTTTTCTTTTCCTCATTTATCACTCCTACATATCACTCATTTCCTACAACAATATATAACATAACTGAAAAATTATAGGATTTTTAATTTGTTTGCAAAAAATGATGAGAATTTAATATACTGAATAAAGAGCTAATACCTATACCTATAATTAGATCTTTTTATTTTTCTAATCAATTATTACACCAAAATCACATTTAAAAATAATATTACAAAATTTTAATAAATTCAAAACATTCAAATTCATTTTTTGAAAAACTTAATTTTTTGAGTTACGTTATCGTTGCAATTTAACTAATCGTACACACGGTAAACTTCTTTATCTGGTATTGCGATACCGGTTTCGAAATTTACCGAGATCCTCGTTAATCGGTGGTCCTGATTACATATTGATGTGAGAAAAAGGAAACAAAACAAAAAATTCTTATTGTACATATTGACCTTACATTATATTTATAGTCCAAATAACGCATCCTTATTCGCCAGGCCGAAAAGCTCGATTTTAGCGTTGTTCAGTTCCTGTCCATCGCTTCCATCTTACAATCTTTCGGTCGATACCCGAGATCTGCTCTCGCGGCACCGGTAGGCCGCGTCGCGGTAAGCACCGCCCAACGGGGATACGAGGGGTACGAGGGGGCCCCCAATGTCGTGGCTGCGTCGCGGCGCACGCGTCTCGCGATGAGCGTTCCGCGCGCATTCGGTGATCACGAAGAGGGCGGTTACCCCCGAAGGGGGGGGGGGTGTCCACGAAATTTCCGAAAATGCACTATCCCGGTGGAGGGTTCTCAGAAGAACGGGACGCTTGGGCCCCGAAACGTCGCAGGACGTCGTCCGAGTGTCGTCGCGCGCGATTACCCCCTCTTTTTTTTAATTTTTTTCCATCCTCTGTAAGTGAGTGAGTCAAGCACGCTGGTGGTATCCGCTCGTCGCTGGACAGGAAGCGGGATATGAGCTACACCGAACCGCTGTGGGAGATCAATGGAAATCAAGCACCAGTGAGTTCCGCACAACACGATTCACGGTGTCACTAACTTATTAATTATAAACAAGACAGAAGAGAGAGAAGGCGATCGTTATCGGCATGTTTTCTCGCTGTCGATTTGACTATAAATTATTATTAAATTATAAATGAACCGAAAAATATTGTCTGTGATAATTGGAGCAGAGTGATTAACGCACATATCGCCAATAATCAAGTGAGATATACAGGATCAGATTACAATTGCAATCCGATGTGATGCATTTTAATAATTAACAGTTAATTATTAAATCGAAATTAAGAGTGATTTCGATCAAACTCCGATTATCTCAATCGGTGATTAATCTATCTAGCTAATACTGGAAGATTGGATTAATTCGATTAAAGTTAAACGAAGTTGATAAAGGTGTCTGATACATTTCACGCGAATATCGCAGGATGCGAAAGGTGCAAGGATATTTAAAAAAATTTCCTGATTATATTTTATCATAATTTAAAAGATTTATGATATTACAGTTATTATATTATAATAACATCTAAAAAAATATATCTTAATTATTTTATGATTTAATAAATTTGTGATATGATTAAAAAATAAATTATAAGTCAATAAAATTATAATATTTATATTTTAAATGTAATTTTATTTCTAATTATGTATAATCTATTAAAAGCGCTGTAGATAGGTATCTTCCGGATTCTCGCGCGGCTTGTATTGCGACCGATTCTCTCAGACGAAATCTCATGTGTTCTTTGAAACCTGCATGTAACAGGTAATCGCGGCGGAGATGTCGCAATACGTCGGCAGTGAGATCGCCAGCTACCCGATGTGGGACAGTTCCGTTTTGTACCAGGCACAGCCGCCTGCTCATCCGCACGTGAACGAGCACGGATTGTACAGGCAACCTTGCGCGTTGTTGCACCAAAGGTAATTCATTCCACGAAGCTGACGTGGAACTGTCCACAAGAGAGAGAGTCGAAAGGTAAAGGGATATTTAGAAGAAGATTGATTAATTCTTACATAACGTTTTGTTGTGGTTTTATTGTTTTGTTCTGAAAGAAAGATTTTGGTCTGGTGCAAAATTATTTCTGCACTACGTAGGAAAACGGCCACAACAAAATTTCTGCAAGAATTATTAATTTCTCTTTTTTACTTTCCAAGAATCCCTTTACCTTTTGACTTTCCTCTGTATATCCGGTTAGAATGGTATTATTTTTTATCTGTTGAGCTTTCATGAATGCGCGTAAAAGATCCTCAATACCGATTACTATACTGCAATCATTTGATAAAATTGTGTATAAAATTCTGGAAATTTTAGTCGTTATACGCCGAACGGCCGTTCGCCAAATTTGCCGTCGTCGACGACGAAGAAACCAAGACGTCGAGTGGCGACAGTATCACAGAGGAGAGCCGCGAATATTCGAGAGAGACGTAGGATGTTCAATTTGAATGAGGCCTTCGACAAACTCCGCAGGAAAGTAAGTACTTTTATTTTAAAAATAAAATATATAAGTTATTAAACGTGTATTTCTATATTAATTTGTGTTTAGTCTATATATCTATAAATTATCAAGACTTGTCAAATTTAATTATATATTTTAAATATTAACAAATAGTTTGAATAAAATAACACATTTTTAAAGAGAAGATATAAATAGTATATTGTGCACCAAGGGGCGAAAGTAGCGTTTTTCAGACGAGTGCAAAGTGTGCCGCCCGAGCCGAAGGCGAGGGCGGCAAATCACACGAGTCTGAAAAAGCTTTCGCCCCGAGGTGCACACGATATTTTTCACAATATCTTTACGGAAAGTTCGACCTCCATGCCTAGAGAGAGGCGAGAGTGGCCATTTCACGCCAGGACGGCATAGCGGGACGAAAGTAACCACTTTCCTCCCTAGAGCGGAAAGTGATCACTTTCGTCCCTAGGGCGGAAAGTGGCCACTTTCGTCCCTGTTTAGCGGGACGAAAGTGATCACTTTCCGCCCTAGGGAGGAAAGTGGTTACTTTCGTCCCGCTAATGCCGTCCTGGCATGAAATTGGTCATTTTCGCCCCTCTCTACAGGCATGAAAAGTCGAACTTTCCGTGGAGGTGTTGTGAAAAAGCTTTTTAAAACTAAATGTAAAAAATAGAAATTATTAAAATAAAATAATAATTTAATTATACAAATAAATTGATCGTGATAAAATTAAAATAATTATAGTTATGATGAGAAAAGTAAAGTTACTACGAGCAAAATTTATAAAAATTCAATTTTTGCTTAAAAATATATAGTATATGTATAATATAATATTGATAATATAGATAACATTTTATTAATTATACAAATTAATTATAATAACGAAAGTGAGATTTTCCTTCCCGTTTCTGATTCGTTAATCCAATCATTTCTCGTGTACAGGTACCGACATTCGCCTACGAAAAACGGCTCTCAAGAATCGAAACATTGCGTCTAGCGATCACATACATCGCCTTCATGGGTGAACTACTCGGTATCGAACCAAGTAGTCCAAAACCGGAGTACATACCACGGGAGTACTATTTACCGAATTGAATCTCTTTCTCCCCTTTTGCACGATTAACGAGGCACTCATGAACCTATGCAAGTCAATGTCTTATTGGCGAAAAACTTCTAGTCGGCGAAATCCAGTCTTCCATTATTGATTAGTATTATAGCGTTAAGTATCGAAATGTAATTTAACACACGTTCGTATATAGCACATTCTTCCACAATATTACTCGATCCTTTTCGTCTTACTTACTACTCCATTAATTTTTTCGATACTATATCACTATTCGACGTTGTTCAGAAATGGAATGGAAAAATAGTAAATTAAAATTCTAATGAGTTTTTCGAGCATCCCTCGAAACATGTTCTAGTATCGAAAGGATTAAATTTTCAATCAAACCTTTTTTCTTATTATGCAGACAATAATCTTGTAACGCTTTATCGTGTCGATTATTGCAAATCTCTTACGATTGAAAGGGATGATTGCAATATTAAAGGATAAAATTAAGCTCCATTGTCGTTTATTCTTCGTAAATACACGCTGTATATTATAAGATGGCGTTGGACTGCAGCAAAAAAAAAACATTTTACACAACTTTGATGTTGAGAACTTCAGTGTTGAAAAAGTTAATCGGCAAACGATGGGAATCTCATACATATCGAATTTGTAAAATTAAGAAATTATACTTTTCCGATACTTGTTGATAAGAATATATTCATTGCGACCCGTACTTGCCTTTGTTAATGCAATGCAACCCCATCTTACATCAGTGCTATTTTTTATTTTAATAATATAATTGCTAAATGTATATATACTATTTGTCGCTGATTACCAAAACTGAGAAAATAAATAAGTGTCAAAATAAGTTAAAATAAAGATTTAAATGATAACATTATATCTGGCATTCTGCGAGAGTTTTGCGTTTGTACTTTGATCCTGAAAGTGATATGAAATTACTTATCACCCTAAATTTTCAATCAGAAAACCATAAGATTTTGAGACTGTATACTTTTATATAAAATAGAATTTAATTTTTGTAAAATTGCACGGCAATATTGGATATGTCTTTACACTATATACTATATTAAGGCATCTTTATGCGTCTAAAATATGTATATGCGTATAACGTGATTTTGTGCATTTAAAAATGCATTTCAAAGTACGTGAACAAATTCATTTAATGCAAGTGTTTATTATTTAATTGAATTCGGAATCGCGATCATTCAATTTTTCATCTTTTATACGAAATTAAAGTTTACTTCAACGGCAATACGCGACTGAAGGGAACGAGCTGTACAAAGAGGAACTCTGCACGTGCATCGCTCGATAGCGGTGGAACCTGCGCGAGATAACCCTTCGATTTACTCGACGTCGGCAAATATACCCTTTCTTATCAACCCTGCGTTGACAGAACGGTATAATCTCGCGAGATCAGAAGACCGACCGTGAGGACGATACTATAGGACGTGATCGCGCTATAAGGGGATAAAGGGTTGACCGGGAGGAACCGGTGGCCACCCAAGAAGGCGGTCTCCTTTCTCTCTGTGCCGAGCCGACCGTTTAACAGGGCCCTCTTTGATCTTTTCTTTTTCCCCCCTTTTTGCCGATTATTTTTCTCTTTTCTTTCTCTTTTAAGATTGCCGCTGGAAGATTGCTCGCTCGCGAGAAAGGGAGAGAAGACAGAATGGAGACGCTCGAACGATGCGAGTGAGCTTGTTAGGCTGACGTCTCAATTTTAACGCTCTCGATCGGGAGTCGAGAAGTCGCGGGTATTCGAAGGGGAAGAAAGATACGGAAAAAGAGAGAAAGAAAGAGACAGAGATGCTGAGGGTGGGCCCCGCATGCGTGGCGGCGTTCGCATAAGCGCCAGAACGGGCCACACGCATTCACCTTTCGCATATGTATACGAGCGAATATGTACATGTATTTACACATGTATACGTATACACACATGGCGAGCGTTACGCATTCTAGATGCCACGTTCGGAATAAAGACAAGTCCCGAGAAGACAAGAAGATAAAGTACACGCAGAGGAGAGCGGGGAGCGGTAAAATAACGCGGGCTAAAAGGGCTCTCTGTCGGGTTGTGGGAGAGACAGGGGGGGGGAAGAGGGCGAGGGGCAGATGGAAACCCCAGAGGGGACGGGAGGGAGAAAGACAACGGCGGATGGCGTCGGGGGGTGAAACCCGCGGGGAAAAGAAGAAACGCGAAGATAGGAGCCTTGGCTCATAATAGGTGGAGAGGCCGGCGCCTCTCGTAGCATCACCACGTGGCATGCGGCCAACTACTGTCTCCTGATCAATATGCTTACGGCTACCTCGCCTCTCTTTCTATCCCTTTCCTCTCGCGTCTCCCTTTTGCGCCTCTCCGTCATGAGAGAGCGGCGGATCAGGCGTTTTGGTGACGCGATGCGATGCGTTATCCAGCGTGTCAAAGGTAACCCAGGAACCATGTCGCCGTCCTTCTTCCACGTAATCCCAATGCGCGATCGAAGGATCGACTTCCTATGCGACGTACACGAGATCAGGTTGACGCGGTGCGTTCGTTGTATATATCGAATAAAATTGAAGAAATTACGTCAAGATAATCTTGATTAATAAGATAGTTATATCATCATGTGGCTTTTTTCAATCTGAAAAGACATTTCCCAAATTCCTTTTTTAAAACTCAAATTGGTAATTTTTCTTACAATATTAGATAAATAACGAATATACCTATTCTTGTGGCACCAATTTCGTAATTAATATAATTAATTGAAAAAATACTATTACATCATTCAATTATTTTAAGTATTCAAAATCGGTAATTATTGCATACGATTATTTTAAATATTAATGAGATAGCGAGAAATATCGCTGGAGCTGTAATGAGTAGCTCTACAAATTCGATCTATTTTTTTTTTTTTTTTTTTTATCAAAGATGGAGAACCATCGAAATTTCTGCATTGCGAAAAATATAGCTGCGAATAAATTTGGAGATCGTTTTCCATGTGTAGGTCGTCCGACATCAGTTTTTCTTCGCTCTCAGGCAATTACAATCTACGACGTTACAAATATGTGCGAGCGATATCGTTTTTGCGAACAAAAGTGAAGATCTATAGCGAACCTTGCTCCCGAGGATTCCGAGATAAATATCTCGCGTGGGTGGGACAAATTGGTCATCCGTTTCTACTCGAGCGTTATCTTATCATCGGCGAAGTATTGCCCGTGATATACCGTTGGCGCCTAACAGGTGGTCTCCGTTCGCGCCGACCGGCCGCCTCTCTTGCGATCGGTCGACGCTGCTAATGACGCCGAGATCATTGCGATACTTACTGCGCGAATCGTTCGCGGTACCACGCGTCAGTCACGTGGTGCTGACTGCTCCGAGTGATCTCTTCGTCTCTCTTTCTTTCCTTCTCTTCCTTCCTCCTTCCTCTGCCTCTCTCACTCACTCTTTTAGTACCATTTTGTTAAAAGCAGATGAAAATTCAAATAATATATATGCTACGCGACTAAACCGAACCCGCGTTCTCATTTCTTTTTCTTTTATCCTTCTCCTCTTAAATCATCATCCGACCCTGAAGGTATCGCGTCCGCGCAATATCATCATCAAGGGCCGACCCTACATACTTATGTGTGCGCACAGGATCTTTAAATATCCCAGCGGTGGATCACGAAGAGTTATCGCGTTATAAGGGACCACCTATATAAAGTTACCGAGAAGTTTAGTCGGCCGTTGTAGTACCTATATCGTGGTGGGTGGGTGAACAGTATCTCGTTGGTCGTGCTCAACACCGCCGACGGTAGTGGGTGGTTGATAGTGGTGGTGGTGATAGTGATGGTGGTGGTAGTGGTGGTGGTGGCCACCGCTGGTTGCTGGTGCTGCTGCTGGCTGCTGCTACTGCTGCTGCTGTTCCTGATGCCGGCTCGCAGCCGCTGGTTATGGTACGGCGGTGGTGGTGCCGGTATCGGTAGTGGTGGTAGTGGTGGTTGCCCCTCAGTGTCCGGCGCGCCTCCGACAAGCGTGCTTCGGTCGTTACGAGAGGATCCTATGAACTCGCTCCCGGCGTTCATCGCGGATGACATCGGCTGATTTCCTGCCGTCGTCGCGTAACAGAGAGACGGCCAGAGAGACGGACCAGGATAATAACGGCGAGTGGGCAAAGTGGAAAAAGCGGCAGGTGGCGGACGAGGAAGAAGAGGAGGAGGAGGAGGAAGAGGAGAACACGTCGAGGAAGCCGGAGTCGGGACGGGATTACGATCGTGTACGTGGGATTACGCGGATTATCGTCGGCTCGGTCGGGTTGTCGCTGTCGCACGAGGAAGGATGCGATTAGCTTCGGCCACGCTACGGTGCTCGTCGTTGCTAACAGGGTACGCGGTGACAAATCTGCGCGGGTCGTTCGCGCGGGTCAGGACGGGTCCGCGACGTTTGCCGCATGCGGCAGCCAGGCACCACGACGACGACGACGACTACGAGTCCTGCTAACCGACGAGCCGCAGGATCCTACGCGCGCGGGAGGAGGGGACCACCGCGTGCGGGCACCCGAAGATATCCGGAGGGGGAACACGGGGGAACACCGTACTCGCGAGCGCGCGTGGGTCACTACGGGCGAAGCGTGCCCGTAGTCGGAGCATCGGCACACGGAGCCACGCCAGACTTTTAAATGGTGCATTATTATTCCGGGGATCTTAGTCGTAGTGAAGAGTTAGATATACATAGGAAGTGCCCGAGAAAGTCGAGAAGACCCTAGTCGATAGCGAGCGACGTCGCCGCTTCGTTCGTTCCGAGGAGCCGGCGTGACAGGGAGGAAGAAAGAAAGAGATAGAGATAGAGATAGAGATAGAGAGAGAGAGAGAGAGAGAGAGAGAAAAAAAAGCGAGGGAGAGAAAAGGGGAAAGATAAAGAGGAAGGAGAGAGAGAGAGAAAGAGAGAGAAAAAGGGGTTAGAGTAGCAAAGTGAAGCGTGCACACACAGTCAAGTTCAACGACCCGCTCGGATTAGCTCGCGCGAACGAGCGGAAGGCCGGCTCAAGGACGGTGTTCAGAAGGAGTCCGGCGGAAAGGAAGACGCACGGAAGGAAAGAGAGCGTGAATAGCGCAAAATACATATACTACGCAATTATATCTATTATATATATATCTATACAAACATACACACATATACATACATATATGTACGAACGAGGAAACGCGTTTATGGGTGAACGTGAGAACGCGGAAGCAAAGCGAGCGCGAATGGCCGAAACTACGAGCGGCGTCCACCGGTCGGTTACGGCGATCCATTGCTTGGGTGAGATCGATCTTGAGGCGCCGGCAATCGGTAGTTGGTGATGGGGGGTTTAGGCGAGGATGCCTTCTCCCTGTCTTCTCTGTCGTCATCATCACCGTCGTCGTCGTCACCGCTACGCGCCGTCATCCCCTACGCCGTCGAGTCGTACCGTTCAGTCCCACGTCGTCCCGTCGTCCCCAGTGACCGCCATCGTCGTCGTCGTCGTCGTGGTCCCCGTAGTCCCACGGCACCACCGCAGGCAAGGAGCAATCCCGTTATTAACGGCAACCAGAGGAGGATCCTCACCGGCGCGAGAGACTTCCTGTTCTTCGGCGTCGGATGCGTCGGCGGTAACGGCGTCAGCGTCAGCGTCATCGTCGACGGGGAGCCTAACGACACCCGAGAAGGAAGGAAGCCTCTACGCGCATCAGGTAGGACACTCGGGGTACCGGTATCGGATCAAGAGCAGAAGGAAAGAAGGGAGCACCGAAGCAAGAGAAGGAGGAGGTGGAGGTGGTGGGGACGAACGAGGTGACTCGCCGTCGAGATGCACCAGGTGCCCTACGGACGCAGCGGCACCTCGAGCGAAGACCGAAACGATAGGATCTTCTGGGAGCGGGAGCAGCCCGAGTGCGTCAGGTGGGTGCTGCAACAGCAGCAGCCTAGATCCCGCGGTCGTGCCCGTGCCCGTGCCCGTGCCCGTGCCCGTGCCCGTGTTCGTGCCCGCGCTCGCGTTCGCGCCCGCGCCCGTGCCCGCGCTCGCGTACGCGCGCGCGCTCGAACGCGCCGATTGTCGACGACGGCGGCGACGACGACGACGAGGACGACGACGACGACGACGACGACGAGCGGGATCGTCGATCGGACAACAGCGACGACTACGACGACGACTACGACAAGACAGCGATTACGGCGGCACGACGCCGGGCCCGACGTGGACCGCGTGGACTCGCTGCACTGTTTGGGCCCGGTGCGCACCGTCCACAGCAGCGTCGCGCCGACGCTGCCGTCCAATTTACTGCTCATAGGACTGGCACTCTGTTGCCTGGCTCTGCCAGCGGTGCAGCCGCGTCTCAGCAATCACCATCAGACGTGTCCGGGTTGCCCGCATCAGCAGCCGCAACAGCAACAGCATCACCATCATCATCACGTGCACCACGAGGGCCCAGCGAGGGGCGGCCTTTTCAAGGACACTGTCGCGCCCAGCCCGGACGATCTTAGGCTGGAGGCGATCAAACATCAAATCCTGCAGAAACTCGGCTTGAGGACTCGCCCGGACGTTAATAGGACGTTGGCCACCGTGCCCCGGCACCTGGCCCTGGAGACCCTTTACCGGGCGGAGGCGCAAACGCCGCCGCGCTACTCTGACCGGTCAAGGGTCGACTACGAGAGTGAGTATTCGGGCGAGTTCCTCTACGGCGGCGACGAGTACTCGTATAGGAATCTCGATCAGGAGACCACCACCACGGAGGGTAACGCCAGGACCACCGCCAAGTCCTATCAGGGCTACGACGATGTTCAAGAGGAGCTGGACGACTTCTACGCGAGGACTTCGGAGATCATCACCTTCGCCGAACCCGGTGAGTCCGCTAATACTCCCCCCAAAAATCTTTAAGTGCTTATGCTCGCACTTAAAATAAATCGCATTAATTTCCCTGTTCTCCGCATTTCGCCGCAAAAGTTTAGAAGATTGGTTTCATTGATTGTACGAGCGATATCAAGAGATTCAGTAATTCGACGATAAGTACATCGATATAATAAGCGTAACCGACACGTGACCGTGTCTGTTGTGTATATATGTCATTGGTCTGACGTTTGATTTCCTTACTGAATACTCCGAGAGACGATCAAAGACGATTCAAGCAACGAGGACCTAAAATCTGTAAAACACTAAAACTATTAAGTAAATGGTCTCAGTTTTTAAAACGTAATAAAATACAAAAAAAATCTAAAATGTTGAAATGTGTAATTTTCAAATATTACATTGTAATATAAAATATATGTAATGTACAGTAAGGTGCCATCAATTCGATGGGTCATAGAATTCTGACTTTTTAATAATTTACTTTAATAATTAATTATTATTATTAAAGTATCCGGCCAATAAGCCAAAATTCGATAACCTATCGAATTAATGCACTTTACTGTACACAATTTTATTATAATGTATCATTTATATAAATCCTTATTAAAATTCTTTATGCGCGTAATAAAATTGTGTACATTACACATTTATAAAAACGTTACAATTTATATTTAAAAATTACACATTTCAACATCTTAGGTTTCTTTTGTATTTCATTACGTTTTCAGAATTGGGATTTCGGAATCGGAACCATTGGCTTGCGTTCAGCAGAAAAAGTTGCTTTATAGCTGTTGTAAAATTCGTGAATCTGGTTGGTGTACACTCTTCGCTTCGATCAAAATTAAAAGCATACCAATCAGATTTACAAATTTTACAACAGTTGCAAAGCAGTTTTCTCTACGCAGCCATTGATTTAATTAATAGTATCAATGTTTTACATATATAATTTTAAAAAATCTGCTACGGCTCTGAATCGGAGATCAAAGCTTCTTGAAACCGATATAATTTGACAAGTTCGCACTTCGACGCTGTAGATACGCAGAAAAATGATTTCTTCGTTGTTACATTCGTGACAACAGAAGCGCAACAATTAACGCAAGATGCAGCATGGCAAATTGGATTCATCGTTGTTATACCGGTTTCTATTATCGACCTCACTTTCTCCTCGCATCCTCGACGCGAAGCACATGGTATTTCGCGAGGAAAATTTCCAAGAGAAACGCGAGTGTTCCTGCGCGGCGCCGATATCGAACAATCGAGAACGATCTAGAGAACACGAGTGTCCTTGCCGCACGAATGCGATTTCTAACGCGACCGATCTCACACGTGTATAAAGCTCGTTTCTGAGAAAACGCTTTCTAACATGACCGCCGGCGCGAGGTGCCGGTGCTCGTGGGGAATCCTTGAAAAAGTTACAAAGATTTCTGCGAAGCGCGAAACGTCGACGTAAGTCGCGGCCGCCGGGTCTTGCAACTTTGTCAACTTCGCTCGATAAGCGTCGCGGCAATCTCAATCAAAATATTCCGCCTACATATAAGAAAATTATTCCGCATCGGATAAAGGACGTTGCTGCACCTATAGACGCAGGCTATTGTACGTCATGTATGAATCCTGCAATTATTAATTAATCGCGATACATCACGCGAAATCATTAAAATAATCAATAATGCAACGTTTAAATACGCGTTTAAATGCAACGTTACATAATGACACCTGAAAATCTGAAATCTTACCACCGCTTTTAAACAAATTTTGTATATAATTAATAATTAACAATCGCATATAACCATACCAATTTAAATTGAGTTGAAGCAAGTTTCTTGGCCTCTCGAGTTGATTGGCCTCTTATTTCTCCAATGATTTAATACAAAATTTTTTTTTCTGATTTTAGTTGTTTAATGTATGTTTACTTGCCATTGATGTAAAAAGAAAGAATCATCGAGGATTATGACATTATTCAATTATGCAAGCAGTTCTATATTATTTTAGAATTTTCTATGTATGAATACAAAAAACGAAGCTAGATTCAACAATCGATAGTAATTCGGGGATGTACTTACAGACAAATTGGAAAAAATCGAAGGCCAACGGCGATTTGATATTGCGCTTTCTTTCTGTCGTTTGACATCGCTAGGATGAAACTATTGGATTAAACTTATTAAACTATTGGATGCCAAATTGCACGAGGAGAACTCATTGATTTCCATGTCTGATTGGATGACCCGGTCACTGGATAGAAGCTTTTCCATAACGGCCATGGTACACAGGCTGCGTTCCCTTTGGACGCTTTCGTGCTGACAGCATCATTCCATCTTTTTTCAACATGTAATAAGCAATAAAGATAAACTGATGCTTTCAGCAAGAAAGCGCCCAAAGCAAACGCAGCCATAGAAAAACTTAAATAGTAATAAGACTTAAGCAAACTGACCAATTATAGTCAAGTATTCTCGAAAACTTAAGATAGCTATTGGTCAATTTGTTTACTGTTTCAATCTGACTGCTTAAGTTTTTCTATGAGCCATGGCCCTAACCTTTCCCCGTACGTCTCGATATGCTATAATAACGACCACTTGACCGTATCGATATAAATCGAAAAATATAGCGACGGTTCATTCCGCTCATCGTCTAATGATCGCCTTTCAAATTAGTGTAACTTCTCGAGGATCACATTACTCACAATTGATACTCGACATGATTTTTCACGGCTTTTGTTATGGTAAGATATTATAGATGTAATTTTTTATAAGATTATATTGATTAATAATAAACGTTTATTGCTTGCGATTTGTACACGCTACGTATAATTTGATCAAATTACTGTAAAGTCTCAAAGCAATTAAAAACCATTTTAGTGTCTAGAAAAATAAGTTTAATTCTTTTAGAAAATAAAGAATAATTCCTTGGAAAAATTTTGAAATTTTTAACCCTTAAATGCCACACCTCTCAAGAATCTCGTAAATGACATGAGGGGTCTAAAAGACCCCAGCATGAAAAATGTCTCCTTACTCATTGATTTTTTTTATCTTTAGTTATGAAAATTGTTTTCAATGTTGTTCAAGGCTTAGAAAAGAGAATAAAATGCTTATATTGTTAAAATTTCAATTTCAACATAGTATAAAAAATTGAGTAAACTGAGTACTGCTAAGTGTACAAACGAGTAGGTCAATCACTCAACTATCATCAATGGGAACATGAGCTCCATTTTTGGCAAGAACATTTGAAAATATATCATTGTAAAGGGTCTGGGGTCCGTTGGGCCCCAGGGGGCATTTGAGAGTTAATCTCTGCGGAGTGAAAAATTTCCTTTTCAAATCTCTCTCTCGCGAATAAAGGTGTGTGTTAATTTTCGATTGTACATTCTGTGATACGTCAAACGTAGATCTGAACGAATACAACTTTTGTCTTGCTACCGCGAGACTTGTGAAAATGGAGCGAACGAATACCTCTGTGTATTAAATAACAAGTACGCGAATGGATTTGAAATGGCAAGTTGCAATAAGCTTAGCCTCCGATAACAGGGCGACTTCCACGAAACGCCAAACAACACGTCGCATGTTCAATACACAGCATGCTCGATGCATACGAATACAGTGTAATAACCTGTGGTGTGTGCAACGCGACTTCGGGGTTAATCCATCCGCGTGTATTGCATTATTTCTCCGGTAACGACACGTAGGGTAACGTTTTATTGCCATCTGATATGACGTAACGAACACGTTTATCCATTACACCCGCATAAATGATTCTAATTAACAATTGATCCCGACGGTTTTACGCGGCGCTTAATTCGCTCGGATTAACATCACCGATGGAAATCGCGTCGAATAAAAAAAAAAAACAAAGAAATTAGTTCACAATAGTAAATCCAAAGCTGACTCATCGCGAAATTTCGAGTGGCTCGTCATACCTGCAACTTCTACCATGATTCCCATGCATTATTCACTATAACATCATTTTAGTTTCACTTCCTTGTAGTTTCGCCTAGTTCGGGTCGCGTCCACGACGCGATTCGTGTACGTAATTGCGGAAAATCGCGGTCAGATCTTTTTCCGGTTTCAGCAAACGTCCACGACGTCCACGACGATGTCCACGAATTTCGCGGACGCGAGCGACGGGTGTTGGTGGGAGGAAAGGCCGGGGAACGCGGGGGAGATTCGAGGGTCGATCACGCGGGTCGTGCCCGACGAAATTTCGGTGCGGGATTGACAGGAGAGGCGGAATGCACCCCCGTCGCTCGTCGGCGAACGCTTGACGAGCCGCTCGCACGCGTCCCCGCCGGAGCCACACACCTGCAGCCACGTGGCCCGCCGCAGTCGCCGCGAGTGTTGCGACAACAGAGAAGCGGTCTATAGTTCACTCCGCAGTTCACAGTAACTCTAAGTTTAACAATAAGGGTAATAGAACCCCAAGGTAGAAACGGTAATGTTGCCGACTCGTTGCCGCGAACGTAGCCCCCGGCGCTTGCACCTTCGCCACCGTTAAATTAACGAGCCCCGCGAGTTTCGTGCCCCTCTTCTAGAGCCGTGCGAAACGCTCGGCGGTTTGTGCGCATTCGCATCATTAGTTTCTCGCTTGATAGCAATGATATCGATTCCGGAAAGTCGATTCGCAAATAGCAGCCTCGCTTTTCTATCAAAATTAGAATTCTAGGAACGAAAGTCTAGGAACCTAAAAACTAGAACGGTTTAAAAATCTGCGAAATTAAGAAATCTTAGAAATAGAAATATGCAGAAACAAGAAATCCTCGAGGCCTCGAAAATAAAACTGGGCCTCACAAAACTGCACACGTTTACGTTTCTAATTCTTCTTGTAATATTTTATTTATATGTATTAATTTCTAAAGGAACAAAACTTTCAATTTTGTTCTACATGGATAGATATTACGAGGGAATTAATTTATAGCGAATTAATTACGTGTTGTGTGCGACAAAACGGAAATTCGGCTTAATTACGCTTCAGCGCGGCATTAAGTACTCGGCTCGGACTCGTTCGCGA